CTGTTGGGATTCAGAGGACCATCTGAGCCTGATTACAACACGACTCACAAGCACCATCGATGCATCTACACACATCTACAACATCCATAGGTTAAATGGAATATCCATTATATATGTAAATCTGTAGTCGAATACTCTATGAAGTGTTCCAGTATTCGAATATTGAAATTACTATTATGCTGGGAAACAGGTTGGTGAAAGGCCAGTTTTTTGTTCTGAGCTCTGAAGTGTGACAGTTTTGCTTGTATTTATGATTAAGTATGCATATTATTAGGGCTGCAATAGCTAATCAACTTTAACCATAAGATCAGTAACAAAAATTGTTGGCAATGAATCAAGTTATCAACTCGACGTGTTTGAAAAGTTTCCTGTATGATGAGTATATCCGGGCTCAGTGGGCAGCACGATCGCCAGGAGTGAGTACGCAAGGTAACGTACGCTTTATCCACGGCAGAAACTCTGCGTGATGAGGTACTAATATCTGATATTTTAGTAATATCTTATGAAAACTACAGTCAAAAGTAAAAAATGGGAATAGTATGCTTGAGCTTTTGGGACCGATCACACATGTTTTTGTACAGCATTTGTTGTTTGTTTCCTGTAGGGAATGAATAGATGAATGTTGAGAAAATTTTAAATAAAATGCCACACATGACATCACAAAAAGACATCTCCCACGCTACCCCGCATAGATATTATATACAAACTCACAGGCATGCTGCAACATATATAGACCAAATCAGGATGTTAGTGAACATAAAGGGTGGCTTTACCTCTGTGTGGATAAGTTGCATCTATTCAGCATGAAAAAAAAGCTCAATTTATGGCACAATCTGCAATAAATACAAACATAACAGACAAAACACTGGCAACCATGGTAATTATGCTGTGTTTGAGGCTGTAATGTCAAATGTGCCCAAGTATGTAAAGGATTTTATTTTCATTTTCTCATTTTCCAGCTTTCAAAAGCAGACAGAGCACCCATTTGTGGTATTTATCCCAGCGAGGGATCCTCTGTGTTTGGTAACACTTACAGGTGAAGATATTGACTATTTAATGAAATCTTTACGCTTCCAGAGGACTAAGTTGCACCAGCACTGTTACACGACCAAGGAGCAAAGAGCACCAGAATGTAAACTAGGACGGTGTCTTGATGTGTTGGTCACTATTTTTAGAGTTATTAATATGTAGAGAGTATGACATGAGGTGACTTGAGCTAGTTAAGAAACTGACACTATTTGCATTTATGCTAACAGCCATAGAGCAGGTGTTTTTTCTCATACTTTCACACTCAAAAAAAAGGTTTTCTGTGTAAATGTAGTGTGTGTGTGCAGGGCAATGCAATATATCATTTTATTTCAGCCAAGCTAACTAGCAAGCAAGGTAGCTAATTAGCCAGTTAGGTGCCTTAGAGTGACATAAAATGACCCAAAATACTATTAAATCATTATTATGGTTACTATTCTGGTTTCAGCTGTCCCTCGAGCGGGTGGAAAATGAGCTAAAACTAGAACCATAAGTTCTGTTGGTTCATGTTTGAGTTCGTGTTTGAGTTTTAGTTTGAATGTGCAGGTTAACAAAACACTCTTATATAGTGAATATTTCTGTATTAAACCCTGTAATGACATGAGTGGATGGTGCAGGTTCATGATTTTATGACAAAAATTAACCATAAAAAGTCATGAACTTATCAACCTAAGAGTCTAGAAGTAAGTTCCTAGCAACACTTTAACAACTATCTGGGACCACCACAATGGCCTAGCATTAAAATATTTCATAACACTTCCTTTTCATAATGCACTATAAATTTAGGAGGCGTCATATAGCATACATTACACATCATACATTACATCATAATACCTTGAACATTGTCAGATTTCATAACACATAGTCAGCTTTCATAATACATAATATAAATAATGTCTGTTTATAAGAACATTGTAGGCACTAATGCTGTATTGCACTATATCAATTTATAAAGCTTTATAGGCAGGCAGTTACATGTGGTTCGATTATAGGGGGATTTGGGAGGTCTGACCCCCCTAATTAAGACTTAGACCCTCTCAAAAGAAGTAAAAACATGAGCAAGAGAAGAAATAGAGCACTTTTTTGGTGCTAAGAAAAGAATAAGTTGTAACTTATAAGAATTAGGACATAGAGAGGATAATGCAGCCTTTCTTCTCTGTGGTTCTCATGCAGGCTTAATACTGAGCATGGTAGTATGGGTAATAGTGTGTTTTACATTTATGAACTGTTGTATTAAGGAAGCAGGGGGAGGTCAGAATGACAATCAGCAGGTAGGAGGAGGTCAGGAGGACAGTGAGCAGGCAGGACCCACTAGCAAAGAGGTGAGTGCCGTGTGTGGGTCTGACATGCTGGCAATTTGGTCTAGAATACTTTCTTGGTGACCCCAAAAGTTGTTATTTGACATGTGCCCCATGAGCTGGTGTAATGCATTTATCATCATCTACAGATTGTAGACATTATGTTAAACAAGCAAGATGCTGTAGAGATTGTAAGACTTCAGTTCATTGAAGCACGCGCCTGCACTGTACTGGGTTACCTTTATGCCTGGGAGAAAAAGCTGATCCTCCCTATTGTTATTGATTAATTCACACCTGTTACAGGCTTTAAATGAAGTTTGTGAAGTTAAGTAAAGTTGTTTTAAGAGTGTTTAAATTTTTAAATAAATTTTATTTCAGTATATTATTCTTTACAGAGCATTATAAGTGCTCTGAAAAGGCTTTAAGTGAAGTGAGGTAATCACATCTAACTGGTAATACAAGTCATACAATGTGAATATATTGCTATGTTCTATCTTCCAAATTCAGGAATTGTTTAAGGCTTTAATTAGCAAAGCCAGTTTACAGCCATATGTAACATTAGCTATAGTCCTAAAGCAGCTCTCTGTGTTAAGAATTTAGTTAACTGCTGCAGTCTAGCACCTGTAGCCAGCTAGTCTCTCATTACAGTTTCCAGTTAGTTAAAAGTAAAACTCTATCAAATTCACACTACATATAAAAAACACATCTGAAGCAATACCAGGTGTTCTCCTATATCTCCCATAAATGTGGGGTTGGAAGTGATTACACCCAACAAATGCTTACCATGATGCATGCGGCTACTCCGGAGGCGCATGTGCCTCTTTTACTTTTGCAGCTCTACAGCAGAATTAGATTTTTAAGTAAAAATAAAATAATCCTCCTTCGCAGTAAAATAAAGCTCTGCTGATCGTTCTATCACAGTTTTAACAACAAGTGTTCTTAAACACTTGAGTCAATGTAGCCTATAACTGCTAACAGACTTAAAATGCTGTGGCTCCCAAGGTGGTTTGATTTTGGATGAAAGGACAAAACATTTGGACATTTGGAAATGAACATTTGGTTTGCCGACCCCTGGCCTAGTAATATACCAGAACCTTGTAATAGTGTGTTACAGTGCATTACAGCATTCATGCTTACAGTGTTCTTATGAACATACTGCATTGTGAAACCTGACATTCTAAAGTTACGTACTCTTTTTCTATAAAGTGTTATGCATGTAAGTATAACTACTTATAAGCAATTGTACAAGCTTAAACCTGGCATTATAAGGTATTATGTATGCCATATAACACCTTATAAATGCATTTATAAAGCATTATGAATACAGGATTCATAGGAAGTGTTACCAAATATTTTAGACATTCTAAAAACAAACCATCATAATATTCATCATCAGACACAAGACGCAGTCATGTCTGCCCTACATTCTCCACCTTATTTCCCAGAATAACCTGGTAAAGCACACCCCGGTCATGGGAGTTAGGCTTAGTTTAAACCCGCAGTGGGCGATGGCCTTCAAAAGCACAGCAGGAGTAACACAGGCTGGGAAATCCAGGCTGTCTGCGACTCATGTCTCACCATCATTAGTATCCACCTAGCAAAAAACTAGGTAACAGACATTTGCAGTGGCATTTATGAACAGTCTTCCTGGAATCTATGTCAACACGAATTGCATTAGACTGGTGCAATATTCAGCGTCTAATAATAGAAGCTCAGTTCCTCAGTTTATCTGTAACACTGTAGCAATGACCTCCATAAATACAGGATCTGTTTCCTGTAGAGAGCCGACAGGGGGACTCTTAAGGATGTGTCTCCACTCAACTGTCCTCTTTGGCTCCAGTGTGGGTGTGTGTATGTTCACTTCCTGCTAAAGTCTGTACACACTTTTAAAAAGACGCTTTAAACTTATACGGTCCTGTGCAAAAGTCAGAATGGCCATTATGTCCAGCATTTTCATTTTTCAGGAGATATTTTTGTGGAGATGAGACATCCACTTGCATGGGGAGGAGAAAGTCAAAGGAAAATAAGTTAAGTTTCCAAAACTGGAGTTCAAAAATTATTAACAGCTACAGAGAAAATGGGATTCCTAACAATCGTGCAAGGCCTGACAGGCCACCAAAACCATCTCTGTCAGATAAACAGCACTTAAAGCTTTCATATTTCAGAGAGAGGAGAAATCAAGCTGCTTCAGATCTGAAAAAATCCACAAGTGTTTCTGCCCATCCTTCCACTGTGAGAAGTCAACTCAGTGCAGCTTAACACAAAGGATGTATAACTGTCAAAAAGACAATAGGCAAAAAAGAAGAACTCAAACAAAGAAGATGCTGGTGTTCTCAGAACAATAGACTGAGTCCAGACCTCAACATCAGTGCATGTGTTTGGGATTACTTAGATCTTGAGAAGCAGAAAATACGACCAAATTCTAAGACTGAACTTTGGAGGTTTGGAAAAACATCCCTGCAGATTTCTCAAAAAAGAAAACTAGCAGCGAATTCTTGAAGACGGCATTAACTTTCCTCACAGAGAAAACCAGCTTTGACCATATACAAAGAATATGGTCATGACACTGACTACAGAATGAAAAATACTCAGAAGTGGAAGTTATGTCAGGATCGATTCTTCATATATCAATATGATATCAATCTGACCACTACTTAAGGACAGTCTGTGACGTACCACACTGCATCCAGGACATTCGTTCCCATTTTCGCATGTCCGACGCCGGGACTGGATGCCACCACCACATGGCACGGTGCAACGCTCCCACGGTGACCAGGCTGACCAGTAGATATGTGGGGGGCAAGGCAGGTGCTCATTACAGTACCTGAAAGAAAACCACAGAAACAGGTGGAGCTGGTTATAAGGACAGTAAAACAACCCAGCAGGTTTGGCACATTAGCCTTCAGTCTCTACACAGTAAACAGTCTTCTATTAAGGAAAAGGCTACCCAAGGAAGCAAGTTAATTGCACTCAATGAGATGGAATAAAACAAATATAGTGATGATTAGCTGGACTTTGTTTGACATCTTTGCTGATAAGCCAAGAATAAGATTAAGCAAGGACAATTTAAGGATTAGCTAAGGAGACTCAGCTACAGATGAGCAAAGGGTAAGCTTAGCTAAGGGTGCGCTAAGTACAAGCTCAGTTAACTAAGTACAAGCTAAGGATAGCTGAGGACGAGCTAAGGATAAGCTACGCTCAATACAAGCTAAGGATAAGCTTAGCTAAGGATTAGCTAAACATAAGCTCAGCTACAAACAAACTAAACATAAGTTTAGCTAAGGATGAGCTATGGGTAAGTTTATCTGCATACAAGCTAAGGATAATCTTAGCTAAGGATTTCATTTAGATGAGGATGACCTGGCTGAATGATCTATGAAGAAGCTTGGCTAAGTACAAGCTAAGGACAAACTTAACTAATAATGAGCTAAGGATAAAATTAGCTAAGGATAAGATAAAAATAAGGTAATGAAAAGCTTAGCTAAGGACAAGTGAACAATAAGATTAAGAACAAAAACTATCCCTAGAGTATATTTAGATAAAGTTAGTGGTGTGTCTGATTTAAACAAGTGGCAGCAGAGTGACGAGAGCTGCTTTTTATCCTCAGAGCCATGCTAGGCTAGCAGGACATGGCTGTAAAACGTTGAGGAAGCAACTACAGGCAGCCATTTTGGCTTTCTTTCATTTCCGCACATTTGGTGGTGTCTTTGAAAGAGCAAATTAGAAGCAGGTTGATGAACCAAATCTCTGTAAGTGCATGTCTTATATGCCTGGCTTTGCATAATAGCTAATAACCAGAAATTCTGGGCACAACCAGAAGCTCTAATTGGATCGTTTACAAGTGAGGATTTGTCTTGTAAAACACACCAGACCAATTTGTAAGCTTTATCCGCTCTCTTTTTAAGGGCGGCTTTGAAAGCCTTTAAGACTGTGGAAAACTTATGAACTTTAGAGAAACAGCCCAGAACAGTGGCCGTGGACACTGACCCAGAGCTTCATGCTTAGAGGTGCATGAGCTGTTAATATATTTTTAGCGAATTTGTTAAGCTCCATTCTGGGTCGCCAGTGACACACAGGACATTTTTAAAAACGCTTATACTCCATAAACAACTTTCTTGATGAGTACTTGGATAACTGATGAGTAATTTTAATGTATTTATTTCTACTGATTTGAATTCTTACAACACAATGGATTATTTATTTAACCCTACCTGTATTTGCATTGCAAGCACACTTAGAACTGGAGACCGAAGCTCCTTTATGTAGTTTGTATTTTTGTTTATGTGTTTCTGTTTCTAATTTAGTTTTTGTTTGTTTTTAAGTAATGGATACAGCTACTGTGACGTCAAAGAAACAAACAATAAAGTTATATTTTCTACTTTATTCTACACAGTTCTACTGCTCTGTTCTGTACTATTCAGTTCTATTCTGCTGTATTCTATTCTGTAATGTTTTATTCTAATCTATTTAATTCTGCTGTATTCAATACTATTCTATACTGATGTATTCTATTCTATTATTTTCTATTCTGTTTTGTTTTCTATTTTATTTTGCCCTATTATATAATGCCATATTTTATTCTATTCTATAATGCAGTATTTTATTCTATTCCATAATGCTCTATTCTATACTGCTCTATTCTATTCTAGTATGCTATATTTTATTCTATTATATACTGCTCTATTCTATTCTCTAATCTCTACTCTATTTTATTCTATTCTATTTTATCCTTCCTTGTTCTATACTTCTGTATTTTATTCTATTTTGTTCTGTTCTGCTTTATTCTATACTATTCTCTAATGCAGTTTTTTTGGCTATTCTCTTCTGTTCTATTCTGTCCTTGGAGAAACACTGCAGTGTTTCAGGTTTGCCAGAGAACAGTGATTCAGAAAAGGAGGGAATCTGAAATGGGTAGTAACACGTGGCCGTGTCGGGGGGCGTCATTGATCACAACAACCTGCTCTGGCGTGTAGAAAAGGTTTGGCGATCCATATGGAGAGATTTATAGCACAGCTAAGCCTGTTGTCAATTAGCATATGCAAATAGCATTCGTCCAAATTATGTTTGCCTGTTTTAACGAGTTCACCCCTCCCTCTGATGAGGAAGAAGGAGGAAAGAAACAGGCAATAAGTCAAATAAAGAAGAAGGAGGTGGGGGGAACAATAATTAACAGCGAACGCGTACGAGAGAGATGGAGAGAGGTGCTGTATGGAGAAACATTTGCATGAAGTCCATAAACACTGTTCATTTGTCAAACACATCTCAAGCAGAACGCCATGCTGAAGAGCTGCAGAAAAATTTGCTCCTCTTGGTGGCCCCTAGTTTGGTTTTCTCTGGGGGGATGAGGTGCTGCCGGCACAGTGAGCAGCCTGGCATGGGTGAGATATGAGAGCGTGGACTTTGGCGGAACTCTCAGAATCAAGCACATGCACACACACACACAAACATACATGTGGATGAGGCACACACTTAAAAGGCAAAGACACACTGAGGATGAAATGGGGCTGGAATTGTACTCTGGATTCTGGAAAAAACCCTAATCTCTTTCTCTCTCTCTCTCTCTCTCTCTCTGTCTCTTTCTCTGTCACACAAACATTTACACTTGTTTTTATACTTTGCCAGGACGGGTATACAGATGATTTGAAAAAACATTGACTTACATTAAAAGTAAAGTAGTTTTTTTCCTTTTCCTGTAAAGTTATCATTTTGGAGATACAAGGTTTTCTTGCGACAACAGTGATGACAATAGAACAGGATGCTCTGGAGCAGCCACACATGAGCCTAAGTCACCATGTCCAATGCCAAGCGTAGGCGAGAGGGGTTTGAAGCCCCCCAGCTTTGGGCTGTGGAGCAGTAGAACTGCATTCTTTAGAGTGATGGAGCACCAACCAATACCTTTGGGATGAGTTGGAGTGGCATTTGTGATGCAGAACTAATCATCTAACATCAATACCTGATTTTACTGGTGCTCCTGCTGCTGACTGCAATCAAATCCTCATAGTAATGTTCCAACATTTAGCATAAAGTTTTCCTAGAAGAGTAGGAAAGAGCAGGAGCAGAGGGGGGCAAACTCCTTTCTAATACTCTTATTTTCGAAGGAAACATTAGATGAGCAGATGTCCACAAACTTTTGGCCATATAGAGTATATGTAATAACAATAATAGTTTCATATGAAATAATTAAAACAACTTGTATATCTTGTATGAACTTATAAGACAGGGGCATTGTTAAGAATGTCATTTATTGATGGTATATATTTCTACTTCAGTTAACATACAAAAGCACAGTTTCTATTCAGGAGACTTGTGAGGCTGCAGACACAAACAACTAGCTGCAGCCACACAGATCTCTTTAATAGAAGTAGTTCATTTGAATAATAACAATATATGGAATCATTACTAACTTACAATAACTAGAATTTTATCAAGGTCATTTGTGCTTTTACTCCAGTACAGACATTTTGTACAGGAATATGTTTATGCTTATGAGAAAACATGTATAAAAATTATCACTTAATTCTGAGGGCATAGAACTGATGTGTTGCTTTTATCTATGCCTCTGGATTACTTGGGGAAATTACCTGAGAATAATGCTTTATAACAGTGTTGTAAATTTAAGAAATGTTTATCACTTTAGTCACATATGTCAATGCAATTGCGATTATTGACACAAGCTGTTTATAAATGTACATATCTTATTCAAAGCTTACGCAAGTGCTATGAAGTGCCTATGTAGGTAGCCTTCAAATAAACTGTTGTTGAACTTACTTAACCTAATCCTGTACGTTAGCCCTGTTTTTCTCTGTTTTTGCTACAAAGTCAGGACAATTTGGTCCGGAAGATGTACTAAAAACAAGCACATATACACGCTCTCATACAAAACACCTGATGGCTGATGGTGGCAAGCCCACAGTGGAGCCGTGTGTGTGTGTGAGTGTGTGTGTGAAGGTCTGTGCCATCTGGCAGCTGTGTGACGAGAGCAGAGCAGAGTGTGAAGTGTGACTGCACACACACACACTCAGTGCCTTTGAACAGACGCCCAGCGGCAGAGCAGGAGAGAATTTCAGAAAAAAAGGACCCTTGCTTACTATTAAAGGCTGAATCCAAGCCACTTTTCATACTGCAGCAGAAACACTCAGGCTGGTGGGGGGAGAAGCCCACCTCCAACAAAAACACAAGAATGCAGCTCTTTTTCTTTCGGCTCCAGCTCAAACTCCTGCTAAGAAACTAACAAAAGCACATTTGAGCCATTAACACACTTCCAGCGCTCTTTGTTCATCAGATTGAAAAACCGAGGGCCAAAAATGCTTTCACTGCCATTGTTCACCTCTGGGCCAGGGGTTTTACATTAAAGAGAAGCAGGTAAGACTCTGAGGGAGTCTTAAAGCGATAGTTTAGCTGAAAGTCCTCTTTAACCCCAAATGTAGTCATTCAGCCAAGACTTATTTAGTGTCTGAGGTTTGCTTCTTTCGGGCTGCACTGGAGCTATGAGGCTGATGTGGCTGTACTGCCTGAATTTAGTCCATACTTTCCTCAATGTTCATAGATAACAATGTCTCAGAGTGTCAGAAACCACATACTCAAGTATATTAGAGATTACTGAACAACTCCACATGGTTTGAGGCAAGTATGTGATGATTTAGGCATGCAGCTAGCACCATGCTAAGTGGTGGGGCATAAGCTTCCATTACTTGTTAGATCACATACAAAACTAAAGAAGCAAACTTCAGACACTGAATGTGTCTTGGATGAATGACTACACGTGATAAGGGGGTAAAATCTGATGTGATTTTTCACTTAAATATCGCTTTAAAGGCTAGCTGGTCTAGGGCCAAACTCTCAGCCTGTGCCTGCTCCCTTTTGCTGATTATTCACAGCCTTTACACCCAGCCAAACTGAAAGCATAAAAGCTCCAGTGCCTGGGATACGGGGGATGTGGGGTTGGGGGGAGGTGGTTGAGGATGGCAGGTGAGCTCCAGTACCAAAGATATAGTATTAGTTTCTGAAGGTGGGCGGGGTGGGTGGTATGAAGACACTTCTTGTCCTTAGTTTAAATACTTTAAGCAAACAACACAATTTTTCCTCTCATCATCTTCACCAGATCAGCATACAGCCAGTTGTGAGGCATATCTACTCACAACTATGAAATCAATTCTTTATATAATATGCTATACTTTTAACTGTAGAAGCCCCTCACCTGTCACTACATATCTAAAGTATGCAGATGACACTGCCATACTTGGACTTCTTAAAGACAATAACTTGGCAATCATCTGCAGTTAGATGTTTCAGTGACAAAGGAAAGGATCATCAGCTCGCCATCGGCTCCCACTGCACTGTTCATAGTCCAGTTAACATCGGGGGGAGATGGTAAACTGTACCTTGGACACAACCTGGACAATAAAATCAGCTTTGACCAGCATGCAAAAGACCTTCACAAGAGATGTCATTGGAAAGTTAAAGGCACTATATGTAGCACTTTTATTACTCTTACTCCTCTATAGAAGCATAATTGAGCCAATCATTGAGCCAAACAGTGCTGTTCAACTTGTTTCTTCACAATGTTAAAAGTGTCAAACTTCAACAAATGTTCATGCCTCATACATATTGTCTCAAAAACGACAGGCCTTCCCACATACAACTTGTGAAATCTATACAATAAGGCTGTTTAAAGTATTGCATAACCATGGAAATTAGTGTAGTGTTACCAAGTAAATGGGTGCAACATAACTATGGAAACTGGTGTATTGTTACTGTGGAAATGAGCATAGTGGAAGTGGGTGTAGCATTACTATGGAAACTGGTGTAGCCTTACCATATAAATGGGTACAGCCTAATTATGGAAACAAGGGTTAGCGTAACTGTGGAACCTGTTAGTGTATACATGGAAACTGCTGTCGTATTACTGTGCACAACTATGGAAACTGGTGTAGTGTTGCTGTGTAAATGGGTACGGGTGGGGTACCAAATTTTGGGCCCCCTTTTTTTGGGGGGGGCAGGGGGGGCAGGGTAGTGTCACTGTGGAAACCTGTGTAGCATCACCACATAAATGGGTACTGCACAACTGTGGAAACAGGTGTATCGCTACCTTGGAGATGGGTGTAGTGTTACCATGGAGATGGGCGTAGCATAACCATAGAAATGGGTGTAGTGTAACCATAGAAAGGTTTGCAGCACAACCATGGAAACTGTTGTAGCATAGCCTTTGAAAACGGTGGATTATTATATGTAGTATGTATTATAAAACAGGTGTAGTGTTACAATGGATATGGGTGTAGCATAATCATGAAAATGGGTGTAGGGTAAGCTTGTAAATGAGTGTTGCGTAACCATGGAAAATTGGTGTAATGTTACCATGCAAAATGGGTGTAGCATAACCATAGAAATGCTTGTAGCACAAGCATGGATGTTAGTGTAGTGTATGCAAACAAGTGCAGCATAACTACAGAGATGGATGTACTGTTACCATTGGAATGGGTGAAGCGTAACCTTGGAAACTGAGGTGGCATTACCATGTAAATGATGTAGCATAACAGTGGAAACCGGTGTAGTGCTACCATGGAAATGAGTGTAGCAGAACCATGAAAAAATGGCGTTACCATTTATATGGGTGTAGTCTAATCACAGAAATGAATGTAGCATAACCACGGAAATAGTTGTGGTGTAACCATGAAAACAGTTCTGGTGTAGTTCTATTACAGACAGCTGGGCAGTAAAAGTAGACCTGCACTATTTACAGATTTCCCCACAACCTTTAGATCACTTTGAAATTTGAAGGGAGAAAAACTTAAAAAAGGGAAACAATGAAAACTACAACAGCATCAGAGAACAAGAGCTGAATTTTTCCCTCCAAAACTATAAACGCTCAGCCTCCAATGCATCTTTAGCTCTGCGTGTGTTCCCATGGCAACCTGAGGAGAGACAGCGGGTCGCTCACACCATCGCTCCTCTGCTCTCCTCGCAGGAAAGAGGGAGCACGGAGGAGATAGAGGAGGGAGGCAAACAACAAAGTCATAAATCATCACGAGAGATAGGAGAGAATACGGGAGAAACCCTTTCCAAAGATAAATCCCAGGATGCAAATATCGCAGGTGTGAGTGTTCTCTGGTACCTGATGTTTGGGAAAGAGCCAGAAAGACCCACTTTATCAGCTTTGGCTTTCAGGCCTTCCTGAAACATCCCCCACCATCCGGTCCAATTTTTCACCCACTCTGCCGGCTGCTTAGCAAACCTCAACTCCAGGAAAACACTACACTTCAGCAGTGCTTAACACAGCACTCAAGCAATCCTAATCAGTTCCTAATATTAATCAATAAAGCTGTTCCATCAGCAAAGGAAAGTGGCAGTAGCCTTACGAATCAACAGCACTTTGAGTGTTTTTCTTCTACTCTGAGTGCATTTTCTGGACTCTACACTACTGAGACAAGTGGTTTTTCAGGGAAACAATGCGTGTATGTGAGATTATTTGATCAAAATGCAGTTCGGAGAATGCTAGTGCTGCAAAAACAATAAAAATTCCACTTGCAGGCCAGGCAATGTCTTTTATGTCATGCCTATCAGTGGTTACTCTTATTTGACTGTCAGTTGCATGCATTAGGTATTATATACAGGTGTTGGACAAAATAACAGATAATAATAGCCTTATGGTGGTTGTAATATTGCCCAGTTTTGAAGCACGTAAACAACTCACAGTGAGAGCTAGCCAGGCTAAAATAAAGCCTTCACATGGCAGGTTTGTTTAACACACTGTTACAACTAAGATCCCAAATTAAATAATCAGAGAACTTCATACTGACCCATACACATTCTAAACTGTTATATTTTAAGCAAAGAGAATCAAAGCATATAGTAGATGTCACATAAATACAAAGATATTTCGATTTAATAAATTTTTTCCTTCTTATGAAAAGTTACCATGTTGGACTTAGGAGGTTTTTTGACAACATAGGCAGTGCTCTGATCATTTTAGGCCCGTTCAGGTACACATCTCTGTGTTTTTTTTCTAGGCAGATGTGTCCTCGCTTTCTTACTTGCTGTATTTGGTCTCCTAGCGCCCATATCAGAGACTGACCCTCAGATATTAAACATTTTCCGAACTGCAACATGAAAAATGGGTTCTTATGAAGCATCACCCAACCATTTACTTGGTCTGGGTGGTAAAACTTTGGGTGGTAAAACTTTGATGACTGAATCAGCAGGAGAAAGAAAATGAAATGAATGAGAACAAGGAGATCCCACAGGCTCATTAAATTGATGATTATTCCTCACCTTTCCTCGCGGTTCTGTCCCACACACACTCGTCCCCCATGCCGTGGGGTGGGGTTACTGCAGGAGCGCTGGCGGACCTGGAAGCCGATGCCACAGCTGGTGCTGCAGGGAGCCCACGCTGTCCATGGAGTCCACGCTCCATTCCTGAGGAAAAACACACAGTGGGCATCCCTGTTTATACCTGATATTGCATTCATCTTCAGAGATCTAATCACAAGTGGATAGAGAGATGTATGGCTGTTTACACCTGGCGTTTCCATGTGTCTCAAATGTGGCTGCAGCAATTGCTTATGATTGAGTTTTCATGATTGTAAATACCAGCAGTTGATTATTTTGTTATACCTCAGAATTAATTAAGATAGAATTCTGAATAAATACACTGAATGCACAGAAACAATACACAAACTTTTTGGTGATTTTTCCATTTGAAATAGCCTGGGGATTTTATTACAAGGTAAAAGTGGCCAATAAGTGGAATTACAAAGTAGGTGTTTCTAATAAAGTGACCGGTAAGTGGAAATACAAAGTAGGTGTTTCTAATAAAGTGGCCATGAAGTGGAAGTACAAGGTATGTGTTTCTAATAAAGTGGCCAGTTAGTAGAAGTACGAGATAGCAGTTTCTAATAAAGTGGCCAGTGAGTGGAAGTACAAGGTATGTGTTTCTAATAAAGTGGCCAGTAAGTGAAAGTACAAGGTAGGTGTTTCTAATAAAGTGGCCAGTACGTGAAAGTACAAGGTATGTGTTTCTAATAAAGTGGCCAGTTAGTAGAAGTACGAGATAGCTGTTTCTAATAAAGTGGCCAGTAAGTGAAAGTACAAGGTAGGTGTTTCTAATAAAGTGGCCAGTGAGTGGAAGTACAAGGTAGGTGTTTCTAATAAAGTGCCCACTGAGTGGAAGTATAAGGTTGGTGTTTCTAATAAAGTGGCCAGTGAGTGGAAGTACAAGATTGGAGTTTCTAACAAAGTGGCCAGTTAGTGTAAGTATGAAGTGCAGGGTCCTAAGAAAGTGTCCCGTAAACATAAGTACAAGGTAGGTGTTTCTAATAAAGGGGCCAGTGAATGGATGTACATAATAAGTGTTTCTAATAACGTGGCCAATAAGTGGAAGTATAAGGTGGGGGTTCTTAATAAAGCGGCCAGTTAGTGTAAGTATATGGTAGGTGTTTCTAACAACATGGTCAATAAGTGGTCGTACAATGTAGGCTTATTAGTCCATTTGCTCTTTTCAAAAAATATTAAAAAAATATTCCAATGGACCAATTCCAATTAAAATCATGACAAATGTGTGCATGTGTACCTGGAGCAGTTGGCCACTTCCACGCTGGTACCCTGGCACTGCTGCCCTCCACACTGTGGACTCGGGTTGTTGCACGCTCGTGTCCGACACTGGCATGACCCAACACTTCCTCCGTCACTATGGCTACATGATCTCCAGCTGGACCAAGGACCAAAATGACCATCCACGGTCACGTTTCTGACCTTCACAAAACAAACACAGATTAGAGCTTTCAGTAAAAGGTAAAAAGCATTCGAACTACTGCAAAAATCAATGTCAACAAAAGAAATGAAAAGGGAGATGAAAGAAAGGGATAAAGTCGCACTCACGGGTTATTGGATCCAAAATAAAATAAAACCTTCATCTCATTACTCTCAGGCTCAAAATAGTACCTGCATGAATGAAGCCGCTTCACAATGAACAAATACGCTCAAATATAAAAAAGGTTATTTGAGGATTTGAAAAATGAAATGTTATTGTGAAACTGTCATTATGCTCAAATTATTAACATCTCCAGTGTTGCACACACAATGAAGCACACTGTGAACAGCAGGAGGAGTGTATTGAAAGCATTAGAAGTGCTGAACTGAAGGAGAAATTGTTCTGGTGGAAGAAGAAAAAAGAGAAAGAAAGAAAAAAGAAAACCTCCGACCTTCTGTGGGTGGGAGAAAATAATATTGCTTGTGCTCTTTGTGCACCATACTCATAAAAGAACCACATTTTCAACGCTGTGGAAAAGTGAAAACAATCTCGCTTTGAAAGTTCCCTCTATTCCTCTCGACGTGCTTTTATAGAGTGTGTTCTGGAACCTTTGGAAAGACAAGGTAATTAAGTGAGTTAAACTGCTCTCTACAGAGAAAACAAGCGAGGTACTGAGTTTATTTCCACTTTGTGGAAATTCTTGTTTAATTTCAGCTTTTGTAAATAAACTGGTGGTATGTGTGTACTGTGCAGTCAGTTGTACAAATTGCCAACAAGTGGACAAATTTTAGTCAGTCTGGACAACTATGGATGAATATTTATTGTTATTAGGTCCAAGCATATACACTATATGGCCAAAAGTATATGTACACCTGACCTCACACCTACAGTCATGTGAAGAAGTATGTACACCCCATGAAATGTTTCTTTTTTTGACAAATATGGACATAAGTATTTGATCTTCAGTTAAACAGTATGTATAGATAAAGGTTATCTAATAGAACAAAAAACTATGGACGTTTGACCTTGCAATCATTTATTTAAAAAAAAAATAACTGAGATGTCATGTTTGTCTGTTGAAAAACTAAGTACACCCCGGCTTCAGTAACTGGAACTGCCCTGTTTGGCAGAAACAACTTTATGTAGGCATTTTCTATAACTGTCCAGGAGTTTCTGGCATCTACTAAGAGTATTTTGCCTATTCCTTCGTGCAGAATTCCTTCAACTGTGCAACTGTTCAACAGCATTTCGATGTGATTCAGATGTGGGCTTTGATTAAGCCATTCCACAACCCTCCATTTCTTCCTACTGAGTCATTCTATGGTGGATTTACTTGTATGTTTGGGATCATTATCCTTTTGAAAGGTCCACTTCTTCAGCTTCAACTTTTTAAAGATGGTCTCACATTCTCCTCACTGACTCTCTGGTATGAACAAGAATTCATGATGCAGCAAAGCATAACATTTCCACTACCATGCTTTACAGTTGGTATACGTTTCTTCTCTCAGTTCTATTTTTGACTTATTCCAGATGTCCTGGTCCTTGCCCAGATATTCATTAGCAAACTTTAGCCTTGCCCCAGTGTTCTTTTTAGACAGCAAAGCCTTCATCCTGGTGCACCTCCCATGTAGGTCAAATTTATGCAGTCTTTTTCTAACGGGAGATGCATGCACTTTTACATCAACGATGGCAAGAGCTACCTGCAGATCCTGTGATGAAATTTTAAGGTTCTTAGAGACTTTCTTTAGCTTCTTACGGTCTGCTCTCGGATTAAATTTGCTGGGGCGGCCTGGCCTGGACACGTTGGCAGTGGTGTTAAATCTTCTTCATTTGTAGATGAGCTTCTGGACAGTGAAATGATTGATTTCCAATATTTTGGTTATCTTCTTAAACCCTTTTCCCAGACTAATTGGCATCTACAACTTTTTCCTGAAGGCCTCAGATAGCTCTTTTGATCTATGCATGATGATACCATACACTCCAATAACAAAGAGCAAACCAGAACAGATATCTGAGGTTTAAATAAGACAGGTTCCTCCAAGATATTCTCTATGTTCTAATTATTAGGACCTGATTTCAATTTGACACTTTTGAAGCAGAGAAATTTGTAGGGCTGTACTTTCCACATTAGAAAACTGCAGTACTTGTGTCACTTGGTAAATTATATCACCTTTATCTGTCAACATTCTTTAAATTAAGACCTGATATCTGTATCTCCAAACATACTGGAAACGTCTAAACTTTTCATGGAGTGTACTTACTCTTCACAAGACTGTATATGAGCTTGTTGGACATCTCATTCCTAAACCATTGGCATAAATACAGAGGTAGCGTACCTTTACAGCTATAACAGCCTCCAAAGACTTTCAACAAGATTTTGGAGTGGGTCTGTGGGAATTTGTGCCCATTCAGTCAAAAGAGCATTAGTGAGGTCAGCAACTAATGTTGGATGAGAAGGCCTGGCTCGCAATCAGTGTTCCAATTCATCCCAAAGTTGTTCAGTGGGGTTGAGGTCAGGGCTCTGTGCAGCCACTGGAGTTCCTCCACACCAAACTTGTCACTTCTTGTCATGCCGGAAGAGGAAAAGGCCTTCCCTAAACTATTGCCGAAAGTTGGAAGTATGTCTTTGTATGCTGTATTAACATTACCCTTGGAACTAAAGGTACTGGGCCCAGATCATCATCTCTCCTCCACCAAACTTTACTGTTGGTACTATGAATTCCGGTAGGTAGCTTCTCTTGGTACATGCCAATGAACTGACTTGTGGCACTGGTGACATCCTACGATGTTCCCACGTTGCTTAGCTCTTCAGTGTTTGTCTATGGAGATTACATGGCTATGTGCTTGGTTTCATACTCCTGTTAGCTGTGGGTGTGGCTAAACACCTGAGCTCAATAATTAAGAGGGGTGTCCACATACTTGTGGCCATATAGTGTATATTCAGGTACAAGCCTTAAAACTTAAAACAGGTACAAGAATCAGTAACTGGTGGATGCTACTCATGTTTCCACACAAAAAAACAAGCATTTCTCTCACATCTTTTAGTTTCCTTTGTTGTACTGAGTCTGTTATCATATGTATTATGGATGCTACTAGGTAGTCTTAACTGAAATTTGGACAGACGTCACAACAATAAGTAAAGGAGGTGTGACTCTCTCCAAATTTTGCAAATGGTCTGTTGTCCAGTGTCACTGTCTATTGCAAAAAGAGAAAAGTCAATGATACCAAACCCAAGAGGAGCGTCAGGTAGCAGACTTACATGATTTATCAAGCACGGCTTTGGACAATGAGCTTCAAAGGCTATATGAGTCATGCATATGAGTATGTGTGCTCTGCCAGGGTAACTGATGCCACGAGGTCTGTTGTGCCAAACAGACTGCAGAAAGTGAAATCATGTGAAAATCCAGGCTCTTGGCAGAGCTCACTCTAAAACTGGTGCACTCAGAGAGAGCGATCATTATAGTTTCATTAAGCGGGCAAACCTGAACGTGATCAAAGCTACCTGAGATTCGGTGAATGGTGAACTGCAGTAATGATCTTTCAGAGAGAGAATGAGGTAGTGATGAAGGAGACATTACTCTATTCATCTACAGTTAGAGTGTCATCAGGTTGTGGTTGTGTGGACAGGAGGCTAAAACACAATCAAAAATGGGATGCACAAATGCCATCAAGCCAACTAATTGATATTTCACTTCGTTGCCGACATTTTTTGTATTATCGTCATTATTGATGACACTGATTAGTTGTTGCAGCCCTGAATGGAATGGATTGGAATACGTTGTCAATTTATCACAAATACAAAAACAACATATTGTAATGCATTTTCAGTTTAAAAGATCATATTTGTATGCAAATTTAGAGTTCAAATGTCAATGAAGCAAACATGTCACAGTCTATAGTCACCTACCAATCCCTTAGAAAGTTATTACTATAATACAGTACTGTGCAAAAGTTTTAGACCCCTGAGTAAATTAGATTTAAAAAGGTGTTTATCTTGACTTTTTTATTTTTTAGACAAGAAATGAAATCTACTGAACATGGACTTAACATTGGGGTTAAAACTTTTAAATATATTTAAAAAAGATTTTTTTCAGGGATGCCAATATTTCTGACATAAAATGTTGAGCAATTTTTTTTTTAGTAAGTATCTTCCATGGCATCCATTATTAGTGCTCTTGGTAAAAAATGAACAATACTGAAAATGTAATGAGAGAAATGCAACTTTCAGTGAGATACAATCATTTTAAAAAAATCAATTTTTTCTCAGAAACATTGCATTTTTTGCACTTGTTTGGAAGACAAAGTATTGACGAACAGGAGAAGTGCCTGTATGTGTGTCTATGCGGGTGCGTCCTTTAAGATAAAGTATCTACCAACACAATGCAGGCTGAACTGTCTCTCAGCAGCATCCACCTGCATTCCTGAGAGATCTTCTTTATTTACTCTTCACAAGGGTAAATAAAAACATCCTAAATCCGTAAGGAATAATGAGGATGGATTTGATTGCACATGGCTGGCATTGCAGAAGCAGCAGACGCATCCATCACTGTCCGGCGCTGGCCAGATCTGCAGTGATGCTGTTAAAGCTCCTTCACCAGGTCAAGCAGTGAGGGGCTGAACGATGCATGCTGAATACTTACAGGACATGCATGCTGAATACTACTTGATCTGAAGGTGCTGACTGCATCAATTTTGGAATATTAGAGTCAATTACAATGAGGGTGAGAAGTATGCTAGTTATGGATAATGTAAGTATAAAAAAAGATAAGTTGTTAATGAGTAGTTAATAGTTAATAAGAAGTACATAAGCTATAGGAGGTACAGTAGTTACACACTATAAGAATTACACTAGTTATAAGCTATACAAAAAAACCTAGTTATGAGCTATAAGAAGTGCACTAGTTAAAAGCTATACAAATACACTAGTTATAAGCCATATGGAGTTCACTAGTTATAAACAATAAAGAGTGCACTAGTTATAAGCTATAAAGAGTGCACTAGTTATAAGCTATAAAAAGGGCACTAGTTGTAAGCTAAAAAGTGCACTAGTTACAGGGAGATTCACTTGAAAGAGGCCTCGAATATTCTGTAATATCTCTCGCTAGGACGAAGCAATCTGAACTAAACAACGTTCAATGTGCTCCTCAGTATATGGAGTTTCAAACAAGCCAGGATACCCCTGCGTCAGAGCGATGAGGTAGGCGCAGGACATCCGTCGCAACATTTAACCGCTATTTGCAACTTCTGGGTGCATACCCCCGTACACCTTCATGTGTCTGGCAGAAAACAGAGATCACTTCCAGCATCACATGTAATGCAATCGATTACACATACATCAAGGTATGCAGTGTATTTTTTTGGTTCAGTTTGCTTCATTCTAACGGGAGTTAGAAGTAAACTACTTATAAGCTATAAAAAGTGCACTAGTTATAAGCCATAAGAAGTACACTGGTTATAAGCTATAAAAAGTGCACTAGTTATAAGCCATAAGAAGTACACTGGTTATAAGCTATAAAAAGTGCACTAGTTATAAGCCATAAGAAGTATACTAGTTATAAGCTATGAAAAGTGCACTAGTTATAAGCTATAGGAAGTATACAAGTTATAAGCTATAAAAAGTGCACTAGTTATAAGCCATAAGAAGTACACTAGTTATAAGCTATGAAAAGTGCACTAGTTATAAGCCATAAGAAGTACACTAGTTATAAGCTATGAAAAGTGCACTAGTTATAAGCTATAGGAAGTATACAAGTTATAAGCTATAAAAAGTGCACTAGTTATAAGCCATAAGAAGTACACTAGTTATAAGCTATGAAAAGTGCAATAGTTATAAGCCATAAGAAGTACACTAGTTATAAGCTATGAAAAGTGCAATAGTTATAAGCCATAAGAAGTACACTAGTTATAAGCTATGAAAAGTGCAATAGTTATAAGCTATAGGAAGTATATAAGTTATAAGCTATGAGAAATGCACTATTTAAAAGATATAGGAAACATGCTATTTATGGCTAATGTAAGTATGAAGAATATGCAAGAAGTATACTTGTTATAAGGTTTAAAGAGTATATTAGTTATAAGCTATAATATACAATTAAGGTCAAAATTATTAGCCCCCTTAATTACATTAAACAAAATCCTTTTTTTCAAGGAAATGACCAGTATCAAAAGAGTTAATAGCATAATTACTTCCAAAAGAACAAAGACAAAATCTCCATGAAGTTATATAAGATAAAGATATTTTACTGATGCACTGAGTTGAACAAGAAAAAAATAAAAATGAGAAGCCTACTCTGACAATTAATAGCCAATATTGTAACCTTTCTGAACCACAACTGACAGTTGCCTTTTACTGTAGTTCCTAACCAGGTTGGCACAGGTTTCTTGATGTATCTTAGCCCATTTCCCCACGACAAAAATGGTTTTCGAGTTTTCGAGTATTTTTTGGACCTTAACTTTGAGTTCCCGCCATAGATTCTAAACAGGATTAAGATCTGGGCCTGGAGAGGGCTCTCCAGGACCTTGATTTTGGTGTCAAGTTTTGGACCAGCCTGGATGTGTGCTTCAGGTCATTGTCTTGCTGGAAGACCCAATGGTGACCTAAAACTACACTGGCAGCAGATTTCTTCACAGTATCCTTCAAAATGTCAACATAGTCTCCTTTCTTCATGACCCCATGCACCCAAACAAGGTTCCCTGTGCCTGAAGCAGTAAAACAGCCCTGCAGCATTATGCTCCCACCACCATGTTTAATTGTGGGAACAGTGTGTTTTTAGGGTTGAAAGCAACATCCATGTGCCCAAACAGCTCCAGTTTAGTCTCATGAGACTAGGACACACTTCCAAAACTCATCCCCATGTTTTAAATGGCCACACGCAAACTTCAGTCTTGCTTTGATGTGCCGCTGTGTGAGCAATAGAGTTTTCCTTGGGCCCACCATGATGAAGGTCACTTACAACAGTCTTCCTTGAAACTTCAAGTCCAGAAAAGGCTAGTATAGCAACAGTCATCTTCACAGAGATCTTGGCGTTCTTGTTGATATTTCTGATGAAAGGCTTTGATATCATGCACTTGCAACTATGCCCAGGTTTGTTTCTTAGAGAATGTGTCTCCTTGTACTATAATGCAACGTACAGCTGTACTGGACACCGTGAAACACTTGAAATTTGTAGTATAGCTGTCCCTCTAAAGACAAGCATCTACTACCTTCTTTCTGAGGTCCAGATTTTTTTCTTTGTTTTATGGCATGATTAAATCATTTTTTACAAGAATGTAAAAGTGGTGCCGCTCAATCTAGCCTCCAAGTGCCACTAGCCTTGTCCATTGGAATCTGTTTAGTAGAGTTCAATGCTGACTGATTGCACCAATCAATTCAGATGGCGTTCAGGTGTGGTTTGAGTGCTAAAAATTTTAATTTGCTACATTTTCTTGAAGAATTCACGAGGGCTAATCATTTTGACCATCCCAATTTTCAATACATTTAGTATACATAAATAATTCTTTTAAAAATCCCAAATGTACCAAATGGGGCCTTTACATTGATGAATGTGTTGCTCTGTAAAGTCTTATGAATGATGTTACCATTGGACAGAGATTAAGGCAAAGGTAACATATCTCATTGGGGGCTAATCATTTTGACCTTAGACTTGCTTTAGCTTTATAGCTCTCTGCAGTACACAGGGCTATTCATACTTCTCATAAGCTACAAGAAGTGCGCACATAATAAGAAAAAAGAACTGTGCTAGTTATGGCAAACGTTAAATATTTAGCATATATGATGCTCCTAACACCAAATCAGAAATTCTGAAATATATTTTTGGGCTTACTAAATTAATTTCTTGGCTCATAAATAAACTGAAGGCTTTCTGACAGTTGTAACACAGGTTTGTTTAGTATGGCACACCTTGAAAATAAATCTGCTGGGGATGTAAAGTTTGCTGTATTTTTTCACACAAACTTTAAAACAATTCAAAATAATTTTGAATCTCCTGGACACTTACTGGACACTGAGTGATGCTCTGCTCCCACTGGCTCATGCTCACACTCTCCTCCAGCATGGTACATTTCTTCAGCACCAAATCCCAACCACAGTATGGATCCCTTGCTCCTACACATGCCCTGAGAGAGAGAGAGAGAGAGAGAGAGAGAGAGAGAGAGAGAAAATACAGCTTAACAGATATCCACAGATAAAGATTTTGTCCAATTCAAGAGGACAGCTAATTAAAAAATCTTGTTATGTGAAACACAAAAGATAAAACCAAACTGTCAAATCTGGTGACTATCAAAATGTTGGACACGTGCACATCCAAAACAGCTCTTCTAATGAGTGAATTAAGCTGCACCCATTGCTGAAACAGCTTGTATAATTTCTATTGAAAAAAAGCACTGACCAAAACAATGGGAAGCTCTTGAGCAGATGAAAATGAGCCTAAGGTCAGCATGCTCAATGCTGAGCAATGGCTAGAGGGGTATAAAGCCCCCAGCACTGGGCTGTGGAGCAGTGGAACTGTGTTCTCTGGAGTGATGGAACTCCATCCAATACCTATGGGATGAGCTGGAGTGATCCGGAACTGATCATTCATCATCAGTCGCTAATTTCAGTAATGCTCTTGTTGCTAAATGCAATTAAATCCTTGCAGCAATGTACTGACATATAGCATAAAGCTTTCCTAGAATTGATAAGACTGGTTCTATAGCAAAGGGGGAAACTTAGCAAACTCTCTATTAATACCCTTAATTTCAAAAGAAACACTGGAGGAACAGGTGTCTACAGACCTTTGGACACAATGTATGTGTAGTAAGTTTATAAAATCACTGTGGTGGTGATCAGCATGCCAAACACTGCAGTATTTGTACATGTCTCCTGGGCAAAAAGCCAACAAAAATGAGGCATTACATATTAATGACCAAAGCTCAGTTTAGGGAGCCAAAATGGATGTGCCATGTCAAAGAAAATCAAAAATCAGAGCTTCTAAAAGTAGAAGTAGAAGTAGCCTAATCTTTGCAGTTGCAGCAACAATTGGACAAAACGGTACATGATTGCAAACAACATGAATGTGATATCAAATGTAAATAGAGCTTCTATCAACAGCGAAAGCATTGGCGAGAAAACAAGGAAAGAAAATGAAACAAAAAAGCATCCAAATCCAAATATTACAGTAATTAGGTTGGTAGTAAATCTAATGTGTAAGGCCTTCAGTCCAGCTCCTGAAGTCCTAACCAGTGATAACCTGGATGCCACTGAGAGAAAAGAAACTGACTGGACAATTTGAAGATTTTAAGATTTTACCCTTTAGTTTCCAAATAAAACTTTACAATGAAATAAGAAAATTACTATAATACTTCCAGAGTTTAAATACAACTATCTATAAATGACAGTCTCTCTGAAGGTCTAGAAGGCTGTGAAGGTCCACCACTGCTTTTATGAATCTGGCTCATGGTCTATAAGCAGGTGAAAATGAAAGAGAACATTGCTCCCTTTAGATCTCTTGTAAAGGGCATTGATCTAATATGTGTGTATGTGTGTACATGGTGCTAAGCTACAGCTGAGGAATCTTTTGCTCGAGCCAAGCAATTTGCATCAGCTGTCGTCTTTTGTGTCCGAGCGTTTGACCTGTCCCGTCAGGCCGCCAGGGTAAATTCGGCTAAATTCAGACCGTCTGCACTGAACTCAGCACTTCTCATTGACATGCAAATGGGGAGTCCTGAGCAGTGTTTGCTTTATGAGAGCACACACACACACACACACACACACACACACACACTGTCTGCTCTCTCACAAGCAGAGATTAGAAGAGCACACTTGAAACAGATCCTGGAGGCATAACGTCAAGCACAATCATTACTCACCACTGCCCCTCAGGCTAGGGTGGTCCAAGACAGCATTTAATATCAGCCTGTGGTTAAGGCTAATATATAAATATTAATAGTCTGATAGAAATAAATATACATCATTATATTCCCATATTCCCAACATTATATTTCCACAAGACATTATCTAAGAGAGTTCAGTCATCTGTAATCACATCTAATCAACTGATTTTAATATGAAAATGGAAAAAATTGGATGTCAACAAAGTTTTTGTTATTTTAGCTGTCTATCACAGCATATTGGAGCTGAAATTAAACAATTAATATCGGCTAAAAGTGCAGACATTCAGCTCTAATTTGAGAGTATTTACAGCCAAATCAAGTGAGCAGTATGGAAATTACAACTCTTTTCATTCATAGTTGCCCCAGAATGTATACGGCCGTCATATCATCAGTACATGGGGAACCATTTCCTTGGACAGCCATACATGCCCTCGAGATAACACTACCTCTGCCATGCTTGACAGATGAGGTGGTATGGTTTGCGTCATGAGCAGTTCCTTCCCTTCCCTTCTCCGTACTTTTGTCTTCCCATCATCCTGGTACAAGTTGATCTTTGTTTCATCTGTCCATAAGATGTTAATCCAGAACTGTACAGGCTTTTTAGATGGTTTTTGGCAAACTCTGATCTGTTCTTTCTGCTTTTGAGGCTTACCAATGGTTTATATTTTGAAGTAAAGCCTTCGTATGTACTCTGATGAAGTCTGCTCTTGATTGTTGATTGACACAGATGCGTCTATCTCCAGAAGGGTGTTCTTGATCTGGCCATTTGCTATGAAAGGGTTTTTCTTCACCAATGGAAGAATTCTGTCATCCTTCACAGGTGTTGTCCACAGTCATCTGAGCTCATCAGTGTGTTTTTTTCTTTTTTAAGCATGTACCTAGTAGTTCATTTGGCCACCCCTAATATTTTTACTATCTCTCTGATGGGTTTGTTTTGATTTGTCAGCCTAACAACGCTTGATTCACTGACAGTGAAGCTCTTTGTACGTCACAGTGAGATTTAATAGCAATACATTCCAAATGCAAACGCCACTCTCGAAATAAACTCTAGACCTCATCTGCTTACTTCTTACCTGGCCGTAGAACAGCATACCAGCCAATTCTCCAATCATTTTTGCATCCCTAAAAATGGGTGAGGTGTTATGTATGGAAATGGTTGTAATTTCTTACACCAATTTGGATGTAAATACCTTCAGAAATAAAGCTGAGCTCATTTAATGTAATTTGCCACTAAAATAACAATAACTGTGTCGCGTCCAAATTTTTATGGACCTGATTGTACACAGAGAGAACACTACAGGCCTGAATGCTTGACTACAGTGATGGGGTCTGGCTTTTGGAAGAACATTTATCCATCCATTTGTAGAATCTGTCAATCTATGGTGCCCGAACATTTTACTGAGACACTTTCTTGTTGGTTTTTTCCTTTAGTTTGCCACCTGTCTGTATTTGTATCCTAAAATCAAAGACCATAAATTCACATTTTAGACAATTTAAGACCTTTAAAGGACGCAGATACTCATCAGTTCCACCCATTTTTTAACAAGCCGCCATTGCCTGGAAATCTGATGCAAAAGCTGATGAACTATTCAGGACTTACTCTCGGGTCTTATGGAAATTGCAGCGAATGAGGGGGATTTTGATGACCTGGTCCCTGACGCCCACAAACAGCTCGCTGCGGCTGTGCAGGATTAACAGGCTGAGGATGGGCTGCCGTCTCCTGGGGGGGAAAAGCTCGATCTCATCAAGCAGACAGCTGCCTGTGGTCTGATTCAGCGGAGAGAGCACTTTCTTAATGGTGCCGTAATCTGGGACACAGAGGGAGAAAGAAAGAAAGAAATAAAGACAGACAGTAGCTGAAGTGAACAGGAAGAGCATCTGTAATGACTCTACGCTAATAACGAGGATAAGAAATCAGCGAAAAAGTTCAAGAAAACACTTTTCCGCTTCACCTTAGTCACCCGAACTCAGCTACTCTGCCACCAGAGCTGCACCACAAAAAGAATGTGTTACCCAGAAAGAATTCATTAGCAGCTCACGCACATGCAGCTCTTTCAAAAGCCAGAAAAAGATGGAATTAGCAATAAAATTACCTTTACAACTCGGCGCATGCGAAGGGATCCTCATTCGCGCTATTTCAATAAGAGAGATCTCTTTTTCTGCGCTATAATATGACTGAGAATAGTCAATGGCCCCACATTATCACAAAGAAGGGATAGATTATTGAGTTCAATACCTACATAGAGACATTTTCCCAGGAGTATTTAATCTTAATCTTTTCAGCTTCATGGAGTTTTAAAGGTTTTATGAAACGTATAGTGCAAGTACAAAGATCATTGACTTTTAGACTCAGTGAAAAGTTCTACTTAATTTGCCTCACTATCCACAAAGTGACCACAAAGTGACTAACAAGTAATCTGTCAATTTTTATACATGGTACTATGCAAAAGTCAGAGACCCTTCATTTGTTTAATTTCCAGTCAAAAACGGCTGGTAAGTACAACTTATTCATTTTTCAGAAGACATTTCTGAGGAGAATTCCACTTGTATAATGAAGAGGATAACCTGGAGGTCCACTGTGCAGGACCTGGTAGACCACCAAAACTCCCTTTAGATAAACAGTATTTTCATCTTTGAGAGAGAGGAGAAAATCAAGCTTCACTCTTCCACCAGGTGTTTCTGTTCACCTTCCGCTGTGAGAGACAACTCAACTCGAGTCTGAAAAGATATGTAGCTGTCAAGAAGCCCTTACTGAGAAAAGGAAACAGATAAATCAAAGAAAGAAGCTGCTGGTGTTCTCAGAACAATGGACTGACCACCCCAGAGTCTAGACCTCCATTATTTAGCTACATTAGCCTCAGAGCACCAGTGCATTTGATCATAAATGACCTCTGGGCAGACAAACTGGCCGTGTTTAACTCTATATTGGATGTCTGGTGAGTGATCTAGTTTTGAATCTATGCTAACAGATCTTCCACACTAACAATGAAAAATGTTCTCTGACTCCTCAGCTAAAGCTGGCTATGAGAAACAGGTGTGATGGGCCTAAAAATAACAGCGAGATCCACGCTAATAGCGTAATTAGCAAATAGCTGCTATTAAACCCTTATTGCCTTCTGTTTTGATGTTCAACATTGTAGAAAATTATCTCGGTAAAGTGATCTCCTCTGTTTGACAGGTAATTCAATGCAATTTCATGCCATTTAGCAGCAGGTATCAGATATCTACATTCCAGATATTTAGCAGATATTAGGGTCAGGTCTGCTGCCAGAAACTTCAGTGTTTACAATGCGTTCATTGATACACGTGCAATAGCTGTGCTGTGACACAACTACTTTGCTTTCATTCAGCCTTGCGGCCAATTATGGATGCTTCAAAATTAATTAACCCAATGAGCTACCAATTAGTGGCATTTTCCCTTCTGCACAAATGTTTTGAATATTTGAAGACTGCGTTCTTAAAAAGCACTAGAATTTCGGCAGATTTGAATAAAATGAATAATACTAAGGAAATTAGCCTAATGAAGTCGTCTTCTGAATGTATTAACTTCATTTCTGCTACTCTAATATAATAAATCACAGAACACATCAGATATCCAACATAACGAATATTGTGGAAAAGAGTCTTTTTTCAGCATGATAAACATGACAAAAATGGAAACATTTCTACAATAATTTTGAAAGTAGATTTTCAATGCATAATGAGCACTGACAATGTTTTATGCCCAAGACTAGGATTATTAGATAAATATTGTCATATCAAAGCCTTTTAACTTATGTTTATTATTAGTATTTAATTATTTAAACTTGATAGTGCTAGCTGTAGGGCTGGGCATCATTTCAAATATTTTGATATGGAGACCAACACTGATACTTTGAGTTCGACAACAATTCCTGAACACTTTTTTCAATACATTCTCTTAAATTACAAGAACAAAGCGGGCGTGGCCTAACCCAGAAGTGAGTGTGAGTTGCAGGAAGTATATTTATATATTTAATGACTGTGACAGAATGCAGACTAGCCAACAAACGCTGACGATAATAACACACATCCCAAATGGCAGCGCGTTTAGGATGCAGCAGTTACTTCGGGTCTTGAAAATATGGTGATTTTCTTTCTTGTAGTCGGAAAACAATTTTGCCCAAGACGTGCATGAGAAACACTGATGAACATGTTCCTGTTTGATATCAGAAAACAGAATTCAGCTGTAATAAATGATGGACTGTTGGATGCGCTGTGCGACCTCTTCGTGAACCAGGCCTTGGGACTGTGGGACTGGACATTCTGTGGTCACTTTGTAGATAGTGAGGCGAATTTAGTAGAACTTTTTACTGGATCTAAAAGTCAATGGGCCTCGTTCAAGAAACTCACAGCTTTCACAAAGATTCTGACATTCACCAATGTTTTCTTATTCGGCATTTGTTCTTAGGTCAGAACAGAATCTACACATTCAGGAGCACAAAGGTGCAAACAATTCTACAGTTTAAGAACATGCCATGAATCTGACGTAGACTTTTTCTTGGGACTTTTCTCAAGAACAAATTTAAGAAAAAACTTAGGAAGATATTGGTACATGAGGCCCATTGATCTTTGTACCTGCAATTTAAGTTCCATAAAACCTTTAAAACTCCATGAAGCTGAAAAGATTAAGATTAAATACTCCCAGAACAACATCTCTATGGAGACAGCATTTCTGATGCAGCCATCCAGCTAGCAGGGATAACAGCACACCACACAGACAGGGTAGCAGCACTGTCTGGTAACACCCATGGTGGTGGCTTGTGTGTTTACATTAACAATGAAGAAGAAATGCTGTAGTAGTATTGAGTTGTTGCTTTATGACTGTAAAGACCTGGTCATTCTACCTCCCCAGAGAGTTTACTACCATGTCTACTGTCGCAGTGTACATTCCACCTAGCCCTAATGTGAGGGAAGCCGCTGAACAAACTCTATGTGGCTATCAGTAACCTACAGACTGTCTTAGTGCAGTCTGGTAGCCTTAGTGCAGTCTGGTAGCCTTAGTGCAGTCTGGTTGGAGTTCCTCTCTAGGCTTTCTCCACACAAAGAGTCTACCGTCAGTTTAATGTTGTGCTACAATTTTCTCTGAAACACATATTTTGCCAAATGTTTTATGAAGTAATCTAAAGAACTTTACCGATGGTTAAATGATTAAGGTATCCTAATACTTTTCGGGGATGCTGTGCATGAACACTGTCGTTAACTAACATTTTAAGCCTTACATCATAACCTTGGTATCTGTGATCATTTGAGGTACAATGGTAGCTCCTGAAATATAGATTACTTATAAATTAGACAATAAATCAGCCTTTCCCTATAGTGCAGGTGTGGTGTAATTCAGCTTACCCGTGGCCAGGTAGATGATGTGGTAGAGCATGTCTTTGCCCTGCACCACGTCCACGGCCACGTGAGAGAAACGCACATTATCCTCCATGAAGTATGGCACAGGAACGATGGGCTGGATCACCTCATGCATCAAGATGAACTTCTGAGCATCTTGCAGGTTCCTCTCCGTCAGGTTCACATAGGAGCCATAATCTATAGTACCACACTAAGAGAGAGAAAGTGAGGGGGGATTACGAGATTGTTCACCAAAGCCCACTGTAGCCAAAATATCTATTCTCTCTTCCACAAAGAAGCACACCAACCAACCTTGTCTTTTCATGTTTGTAATTCCTCTCTAAGAATGTCCCAATCAAGATATTTTTGTCGTTAATCCTGATCTGAATCATCTATTATTGAGAATCTGCTGATCGTAATCTGCAATCTGATATCATCGATAATGTCACAGTTGTGGCTGCATTAGATCATATCATTCGTGATTTCATTCACCGCCTCAAATGTTCTGCTGCATTTGTGCAACAGTTTTGCAAGGTAAAGCAAAGAAGCCCCAAAACACTGTTTTAAATATCTGTTTTAACACTGGCAATTTCTTTCACCCAGAACAATAGTTCCAGCAGCTTAGAGTAATGGCAATAGTTAGCTTGTTTAGCTGTATTTTAATAAAAGGTGCCCACCATCAATTTTTTTATTTTCCACTTTAAAGTAGTTCCACACTGACATTCAATCCGCAATGCTAACTTACACCTAATACGCCAATTGGTTTATGCCAGAAAGACCTACATAGCACATTGGGGTAAAACAGCCCTAGTGAAGGATTGAAATTCTATCAGCTTTTAAAGGAAAAAACATGCTAACATGGCTAAAAATGAATGGCAGCTAGTAGCTACCATTTAGCATGATTCCACTTACATCATGCTAACTGGCAGTTATATGGTTTCACTTATTTTTAGCAACATTAGCTTACTTTTGATTGAGGTTAAAGGTAAACCATCATGCAAAACCATAAAATGTGTCAGCATTAGTTTACAAAGCTGATATTTGATATCCCATAACAGAACGCATTATTCACACATGGACTTTTTTTGGAGTTTTGACATTTATGGTCCAAACTGAAGGCTGAGCCGTAAGAGAAGGTGAAATATGACTTCAGAGGTGGGGCAAAAATCATTACATTTTGATTTGATTGATTATGAAAAAACGAGAATTTTGCTTTGTAAATGAAATGATATAATGAATTGTGCTTGATGTTATCAGACACAAAAACTATCACAGTAAAACATGTTAATTTTGGCAACAGCCAATACTGATCCATTAAAATATTACTTCATTGACTTAGATGCTGTGGCTTCAGATTGGATCGGGCACCCCTGCTGGGACTGCAAGCATCTTTTGTGCAAAGTGCTGCATTCAGATCCTTCATCGCGCCCGCTACATACAAATCAATCTGAGGCCAGCTGGCCCCCAGTGGCCGCTCTGGATTGCTGAACGCTCTGCTAGACCACAGAGTCAGTGAGAGGGCTGTGCTCCAGAGGAGATGCCTTATTTGTGTGGGTGATGTGGAGTGGTGTTCGGGTTGCTGGGCCACGGAGGGCTGCTGAGTGAAGAGTCCGCTACAGGGCAGGAGGAGAGGCATGGGGGTCCATTTCCCTGATTTATTCCCCATTCTCTCTGCCTGAGCAGCCTCAGGGCTTGAACTGTCATTTGGCGAGTGGCCACAGAGCGGAGCATATGCTGCCGTGACCATCATCAGGATTAAGAGCTGTTAAAGTGCTTGAAATTGCTCGTGTCCTGTAAAAGGACAGTGACATATGTAGCGGCTTCTATACGTGGTGCATTTCAAGCTGCAGGTGGGGAAATGCGTTCATGCATGCTAATGTACTCTCTTGGCCTTAAAGCAAAAATGACATTTTTGCCCTTCAATCAGCCAAGACATGTTCGGTATCTGAAGTTCACTTATTTACTTTTGCACTAGAGCTACGAGGCTAATGTAGCTAAAAATGAGTGATATTAATCATTTTGGTATCAGCAGATGTTTCCTTAAAAATATAAACATCAGCATTAGGCAGTTCTTTGGATTTGACTGATATTTCAAGCTGATATTTATTTATTATATATTTATTGAACTCTGAAAGAGCAGAATATTTAGGCGATGTTGGGTGCAATTTTTTTTAGATTTCTATGCAGTCCTAATCCAGGTAGATTGGGCCCCACTTTCTACATTTTATAACTGTTCAGATACGTATAAAAATATTGGATATCAGCAACGGCTCACAATTACCCAACTGGTGCATCACTACTAACAAGTAATGGATGTTTATACCCAGCATGCATTTACAGATTAGCAACACTAAAACTGCATAGCTGAATTATGGATTGATAGTTGTTGGTATGGTTGGGTTGTGCTTGGTATAGTTTAGTAGTTGTTGGTATGGTTGGGCTGTTCTTGGTATGGTTTGGTAGTTTTTGGTATGATTTAGTAGATTTTGTTATGGTTTAGCTGTTGTTGGCATGGTTTGGTTGTTGGTATGGTTTGATAGTTTTTAGTATGGTTTGATAGTTTTTAGTATGGTTTGGTAGTTTTTGGTATGGATTGATTGTTGGTATGTTTTGATAGTTTTTAGTATGGTTTGGTAGTTTTTGGTATGGTTTGGTTGGTGTGTTTTGGTAGTTTTAGGTATTGTTTAGTTGTTGGTATGGTTTGATAGTTGTTGATATGGTTTAGTAGTTTTCGGGATGATTTAGTCGTTGCTGGTATGGCTTTGGATTTCTCGGTATGGTATAATAGTTGTTGGTATGGTTTGGTAGTTTTAGGAATAGTTTAGTTATTGATATAGTTTAGTTGTTGGTATGGTTTAGTCATTGTTGGTATCGTTGGGTTGTTCTTGGTATGGTTTGGTAGTTGTTGGTATGATTTAGTAGTTATTGGTATGGTTTAGTAGTTTTTGGTATGGTATGTTTGTTGGTATGGTTTGGTCGTTGGTATGGTTTGGTACTTTTAGGTATGGTTTAGTAGTTGTTGGTATGGTTTAGTAGTTTATGGTATGGTAGGGTTGTTGGTATGATTTGGTAGCAGTTGGTATGGTTTAGTAGTTTTTGGTATGATTTGGTAGTTGTTGGTATGGTGTAGTAGGTTTTGGTATGGTTTGGTTGTTGTTATGGTTTGGTAGTTGTTGGTTTGCTTTGGTAGTTTTTCAACAGGTTTAATATATTGTACATTTATAGCCTATAAATCACTTCAAAACTGTTTGTTTTAAAATGACAAAATGGCTTACTGTGAAGGTACACTCCTGTTATTGTAGATTTTATTTACTCTAATTTTAGCCTATTAATATTTGATTACAATAGCAGTCTACGCCTTGGTCTGTTTTAATAATTTTATGTAACCACAGTGTCAAAATCATTAAGCCTTCATTCAAGTTTCATGAGGGAAGCTTAAGCCTATTAGAGATTACTGAACAACTCCACATGGTTTAAGGTCAGATTAAGGCATGCCTGATGATAATTTACTGGGTATTAGCTATGACATAGGCTCCTGTGCAAAACTAAAAAACACAAGACAACAAACGTCTTGGCTGATTGACATTTGAGTGTGAGGGGAGAACTATTTCTTTATGAACATGTTTGTCTGTGCAGGACGAGTCTGCCATGATGAAATATTGTGAAGAGAAAAATCACTCCACCATTACAACACAAGCTTTACTGCTGATTCTGTGCAGTTGGGTTAAACTTCTTGCTTTCTGGTCCGGCCTCGATGTAATCAGCATCAATCAGCGGGGGATCAGTGCAGAAATAATTTTGCCAGAGCGCGGGTGCATGTTGCTCTTTCATGGTTAGAATATACAGCTAGTAGTTTTACATTGAAACGGGAAGCAATAAATCCGAAGCTCGTAAATCTTCACTCTCCAACGTTGACAAATGCTTGATGAAGATGTCATGGAAGCAGAGATAAAGTGGGGTCTGTGCAGTTCCGCCAACAGCTCTGAGAAATCCCCTACGAGGAGAAAGGCTTTTTTCCACTCTTCACGTAGGCTGCAGCAGCTCTATTATCGGGTAGTACAGCCATACACTTCAATAAGGCCAGACTGGATTCTCCAATTCAGCTGATCCTGTGTAAAAATTAAATACATGCTGAGCAGACAGTTTTTCTTTAAAAACCCGCTGCGTGAATAGTGTCTGGAGTTTCCCTGCTGGACACGGGTCTCATACCGAATTAGAGCACATTAAAAGGATCAGGATTAGCCGTCTCGCTATCATTTAAGCTTCCTGACATGCGCTCACAGATATAAACACGCACACATTCCTCCACATCATCATCTCGCGCATAAAACCCAGGCGTCTCTCGATGAAATTTCAATTCCTACCACAGAATTTGAAGAGCGCGTTAAAATTAAGAGTGAAAATCGAAGTTAAATTATTAGCAACGGCAACACTCGGCAGGACACGGATATGGCTTTTTTTATTAGCCCCCTTATCACTGTAAATTTCCTGCCGTAGAGTTTTATAAGGTGGGAGCTTTATTAATAAATTCATGAGCAGCACGGCGGCTGTAGAAATGAAGTCAAATTAATGAGCGGGACACAGAGAGGCTCAAAAAAACAATGATGCGTGGGATCGCGCTTGAGCTTTCCCCTCAATGCTATTATCATACGCAGAGAACGCTTCAGAGAACCGGTTTGTTTGTGTGCTTTGGGTAATTGGACAGCAGTCGGAAAAATAAAAATTCACCTTGCACGCTCCACTTTCCTGAGAATAATCAGGTGAGAACCTGAAGCCATAAAGGCAGGGATGGAGGAACATTTTGGCTTAATTGAATAGCCAGAGACACACAAGTGAAGTGAGACACATTTGGCTGTTAAGATGAGCTTTCCTTATGCAAATCAGGTTAATCTGGTGCATCGTCATCATAGCTGTTCAGGAGACTTTGTCCCAGAACTCCTGGCTTTTTAATTTACATTCTATCAAACTTTATTGAACTTGGAGATGACAGAATTTGTCACTACGCTAACTTTAGCTTGACCAAAAAACTTTCATCCACATATAAAATAAATATAACTTATTATCATTTAGAAATTTTTTTTTTTGGCAAAAACAGAGCTGTCTTCTCACGTTGAATTAATAACTCACTCCAAATGTAGATGCTGTGATTTAAACTGAGTTGTGTGTTATAGTTTCACATCATATCTGCACATAGCAATTCGTGCCAGAACAGCTTTTTAATTTATTTTTTTAACCAGCTGGCGTATCCATGCTCCACCCACGAATGTGACCTTTCATAGTTACTGTTGCCAGGTTGGACAAGCTTTATAGAATGCTGGTGAAAATCTCATTCAACCTAGTGAGAAACTGTACTGCACTTTATTTAGAGTCGTAACACTTATTTTAAAATGCTATGCTAAACAACCTGGACTGTGTTGTAGCTAATCGAAAGTAGGCCACTATGCTAATATTAGCTTAGTTATATGTAAAACACACAAAATAACCACACCTGTGCAGAATATTATAATGTTGTTTTTAAAAAGTTACTCTCCCAAGCTGGACTGCGTTGTTGTAGCTAATCAAAGTTATGTGGGTGGGAAACAACAGCAAATTAGAAACCATGCTAACACTACCTCAAATACACGACAAAAACTCCACCTAATCATCCTAACAGAGTGACCTTTCACACACAAAATAAATATCATTTGAAAGCAATATTGCACTTTAAATTTAGATATTTTGACAAAAAATAGTTCATCTTTGCTTATGTTCTGTACAGCTTGCCTGGCCTCACAATAGTAGGTATGAAAGCTATTGTTTACTGCAAATTGAGAGCTAAGAATATTTTTGCTCATCTCTTTCAAGTCAGTCTGCAGAACTCTGCAGGCTGTTGTATCATATCTTGGCCATATTCTGTGGTTGTGCAGATGTTTCTGTGTCTGTTTTGACACCTTTACTAGGGATGCATGATGATACTAGATTCACGTCACTATTGCCAGGTATTTGCATAAAAAAAAGAAACTGTCATCAGACAGGTGTTTAGATGTGATGATGTATTTATTGAACTCTGGAAGAGCAGAATGTTTAGGCGACGCTGAGATACTGCACTTAAATACCTGCATTTTATTCATTTTACTGCATTTCTAACCCTGTACAAATAAGTGTCTCTATAATGCGAATTCAGGTAGCTCTAGGTCCAAATTCCTACATTTTAGAAATGTTTATGGATTGGCATCAGCAGATATACAGTTGTATGCAAAATTTTGGGTGCTCTTGGTCATACTGCAATGTTTTGTTGATTTTATAAGTGAAACTAAGCTAACATATCCTCTACAGGAGGGTTTTTCAACCACTGGGCTGAGGACCACAAGTGGGCCGCGAAGCACCCCTTGGTGCTCCTTGGACCTATACTGAAAGGGGCCAATGGTCTGTAGCGGGTCTTTGATCGCGCTTTGTCATAAAAATCAGTGAAAAAATAATTGACTTAACAATAAAAAAGAAATATAAAATGTTTGACAGTTAACAACATTAATACAAGCCCCACAATAACAGCACACAAAGGAAGCTTCATCTATTTTTTTCCCTTTGCCTCTAGAAATATCTGACATTCCAGTTGTCCACTCTCACTAATACTCTGCTGATATTTCATGTTCACAGATACACATCATATACTGCAACACTAGGCCGCCACATATCACTGTGCTGAAAACTTCCCAAAAATTACATTTTTAAGCAAAAACGTTGAGTTTTGTTTCTTGTGGGCCTTCCTGCTTTCTAGTGATAAACAGGTGGGCCTTGAGGTGGAAAAGGTTGAGAACCCCTGTTCAACAGAAAACACACTTCTGTGCACTTTAACCATTTGGGGTCCACAAACATGCTTGCCTGCCAATTTTGATGTTTATAAATATGTTTCTCTGTCTTTGCAATAATACTGCACAGAAATATGGTTCAAACATTTCCTGAATCTGTAGAGTCTGCTCTTTCGACTGCATCTCATTGCAAGATCATATGTGACTCACATCTGGAGTTATGAGGCTGTGAAGAGGGGTTGAGATACACGTTATCTGCCTCTAGATGTGTACATCACTAAGGACTTACAAATCATATCAGAAACCCTTCATTCTTCATTCAGTTGTGCAGTGGCATGCAAAGAGTTACAGCCACTGAAGTGGTTTTGGAAAGTAGCGACAAAGATAATTTTTATATGAAACGTATGAGTATCTGTCATATGCAAGCGCCTTTAAAGGTGAATTTAGAAAGATATGCAAAAATGGAGAAAATGCCCTTAGACCCCAGAGGGTTAATGGACAACTTGCTGGAGAAAAACAATGTGCATTTTATATTTTTCCAATATGTTAAACTCAGCAATTAAATAGAAATCACACACATTATGCTGAAACATGACACATTTAGAGGATGTGTACTTATTTTAACTTTAGAAACCAACAAAACAGATAATTTAACTGGTTTACACTTTTACATACGACCGTATATATATTTAACATATTAGACAGCAGCACATTGCCGCAATTCCTATATTGGTGCCCATATCTGGTATTTTTGCTACATACAGTACATCTGATAATTTTTTTAAATATTCTGCATTGTCCCAAAATAATGGAAACAAACTGAATTGTGGTGAACCAATTGTCCTCAGTTGTCTGAATCAATTCATGGTGCACTAAATTGACTCCAGCCTGAGGACAAAGGGCTAATTTAGTGTCCTTTAGTGTGTACTGCACTCTGAGCGGATGTCGTCTGCCACTGCAGTGCTTGTCTTTGCTGGTAGCTCACCTGAAAGTCGGGGTTGGGGTTGGGGTAAGGTAGCCAGGCGGAGCGAGAGTTCTCCTGGTATTTAAAAGGGCCGCTGAACACCTGGGTGATGGCGCTCAGGTTGAAGGCACACACTGCTGAGGCAGCGATGCTGTTTCTGAGAGAGAACGGAGACAGAGAATGAAGTATAGACACACACAGGCACCATACATACATATGTACACACTTTTCTAGCGTTCACTCTCACACTGTCAATTACTCAGACATCGCAGCCCATTGCATGAAAAATGAGGCTGTCTACTGCTGCCTGTCACACAAAAGATACATCTTCAGGAGATATAAAAGCCAGAGAGATAGTTTGGGAATGTAAACATGTGGTGAAACAGAAAAATATACCATTTACATCACATGGAAATGATACTGAAATCATTTCATTCTTTACTGGTGTCATCTTCAGGCAGGACAAACAAATAGATTTCAGTTCGGAAAAGATTCAGGTCCAATTGGAAGAAATGTGACATAACATGAGGACTCACACACATCTATACATTACAGTGTAGAGCTTAGGTGTTTGGAGAGTAATACAGTTTTTGCTGGTTTAGCTCTGAACTTCAGCATATTAGACCATGATTATGAGGCTATAAAACAGAATGCTAAAATGACCCTACCACCACCATGTTTCACAGATAAAGCCTTTTGCTTTGGATTACGTTCTTTTCTTCCACCAGACTTACTTGGGTAATGCTTTGTTATGGTTAGCCTTCAGTTAACCACAACAAACAAAATAGGGTTCATCTGCTGCAGGTTAATGTTTGCTTATCTATCTATCTATTTTGTCCCAGTTCTCCACAGGACTCTTTTAACCTCACAGTCATTGTTGTACGTCAAATCACATGTGCTGGAGCAAAAAGCCAAAACAACAAAAATACTTTTACTGGACTCTGTATAGAAGGTATATGTAAATCTACTGCGCAAAAATATGAAACTCAGCTATTATAAGCATCCTATAAGCATTCTCAGGTTTTACTCACACATTAGTGGTGAAAATGCCATAGAGCAGCTCCAGTTCAGGCAGGAAGAAGGTGCCCTGCAGCTCGTTATAGGTGAAGGGGATTTCTCCTGGCCGAGAGCAGTTCAGCCTGGCCTTCATGAAGGTGGTCCAGGTGTCCTCCAGCAGAAATCGGCCACCAATGTCATTTTTACACACTCGGGCGGCACGTGAAAACACTGTCCTGCCGCAGTCATGCTCCACTGCATTCTCCCGGAAGAAGAAATAGGTGAAGTTTCCAATGTCGTAGGAGGACACAAAGTTTGGCTCTAAATTTAATCAAAAAAAGAGAGAAAACTGATATAGCACAGTGTTAGCTTTCTCCTGTTTAATCCTAAAACTCTTTGAATGCAACACATTACCTATTACATCAAAAAGAATTGTTAATAATTCCTTTTGGCTGCACTAAACTGTTATATCCTGAATCTATTAGCTGTTTTATTTACCTCACATCCGTTTTTTAATGAGCATAAGCCTTGTGGACCTTTGTGCTAAATGCTGTGAACGAGTGACTCCACCATGCCAGATTAAAAACTGTTTTGAGATAATGAAAGTAGAAAGGAAGAATAAAGCAGAGAGGCCATGGGAATCGGAATGAGAAATTCCGCTTCCCACTCCCAAAATACAGTACTGTGCAAAAGTCAGAGACCACCCTTCATTTACTTTCCATTCAAAACAGCATTAAGTTCAAGCTATTGATATTTTAGCATCAGAAATCATATATTTAATAGAAAATCACACTGAAGCCCCAACAACTCAACAAAAGTTTGATCACTCCTGGTCAAATGGCATGAGTGAACACATCCTCTACAGGGAATATACTTATATATGGCATTTTTCTGAAAATAGCACACAATTTCTAGGTATTTGCTGAGTTTTATGTATTAAAAAAACACAAAATATAAAATGTGCTATAACTTTTAAACAGACTTTTACACTGTTTCCCAACAGGTTAAATTCAGCAAATAAACAGTAAATGTGCCTTATAATGTATTAAACTTTTGCATGCAACTATGTTTAGCATGCCAACACCTTGCTTTCATTACAGTTTCTGTTCTGTTCAAGAGACTAGCTTTCAGTTTTTCAAAAAAATCTGCAGGGATATTTTTCCACACCTCCAAAGTTCAGTCTTAGAAGTTGGTTTTGCATTTTCTGCTTCTCTGAGTAATTCCAAATACATTCAGTGGTGCTGAGGCATGGACTCTGGGGTGGTCAGTCCACTGTTCTCAGTAAGGGCTTCTTTACAGCTACACATCTTTTCAGAATCAGAGTGTTGAGTTGTCTTCTCACAGTGGAAGGATGGATAGAACATGGACACCTATTGATTTTTTGAATCAAGCAAGAGTGGAGCTTGATTTTCTCCTCTCTCTCAAAGATAAATGTGCTGTTTATCTAATGGGGACAGTTTTGGTGGTCTACCAGGTCTTGCATGGTTGTTAGGAGTTCCATTTCCTCCTTCTCGGTCCAGTCTATTTTTGGAAGCTCCTGTTTTTTTCACTTTGACTTTCTCCTTCATTATGCAAGTGGATTATCTCATATCATATCTTCTCAGAAAGTTGTACTTAATGGCTGTTTCAACTGGGAATGAAATAAATGAAGGGTCTCTGGCTTTGCACCATACTTTATATTTGGGAAATAATGTACCTGAAATGAGCAGTCAGGTTCCAACAAAAAATTCAAAGTCTAGTACTGATATTGCACTAAGTCGATAGAGCACGTCGTTTATATTAAGAGAATGACACTTTTATTAATCTCACAGAGAGGTAATGGACGTGGCCATTCATCGGGAATGAACGTAAAGGTTAAGATGAGAAATGGCTAGAACAAGTGCACTCGTCTAATTATCTCACCCCATTCATGCGCGACGATTGCGGGAGTTTTTCAATATTAATCATCGCGTACAATCGCGCTGGACTCAAAGACGCTGTTTTTGTCAACAATGATTTAATTTCCTTCAAAATGGACCAGCTCCTTCTTGGCTTGACCAGCGACATCAAGAGTGGAAGGAGGAAAAAAAATCAATTTGCCATAAAACTGAAATTTATTAAACCTTTTCTGAAGGCTGCGCCGTACGCTGCGTGTTTTGACTTTAATTTATTTTTCCAATTATCTTTTAATGGGAATCAGATAAAATTCCGCACTGACAAGATAGCCGTTGACCTCTCTTTTCTTTTCCTCCACTGAGGCGCACTCTTCCATTTGGATGCGGGAGTTTGATGTGGCAAGATCAAGCCATTTGAAGTGGAGGCCAATTTGCTTTGTGTGCCGAAAGCAAATGTCAGTGCCATGACCTTCACTGAAAACGACAGAATAATTGAATGAAAAGAAGACATTTGCTGCAGGACGCTGGGTATCTTAAGGTTACGCTGGCTGCAACTCACAATCAACTTTTACTTTCACCTTATAGCTGATATATAACGATCCGCCGTTGTTACATAAATAACTAAATTTGAATGGTAACATTTACTTGAGTCCTGCTATATTGACACAAATATTCCATAAAAATGTCATGGAGATGTCACATGCTGTCATCACCATGGCCTTAACTAGCTATGAAGACAGAAGTCTGGACTCCGGTAATTTTACAAGCATCTCAAGTTATGAATTTGCATTCTAAAACTATCCAATCAGCAGTGACATGGCTGATTCTATACTGACCTCAGGGCAAATGTAGTTCACCCATAGACTTACTGACCACTATGAGACACTATGACTTTGACTTCTCTGTAAGAAGTACAGGTATGCAACACTACAGGCTAGAACAGGGGTCGGCAACATGCGGCTCATTTACCGCCTTGTTGCAGCTCCACAGCAGAACTAGATTTTTAAGTAATAATAAAATAATCCTCCTTTGCAGTAAAATAAAGCTCTGCTGTAATTTAGCCTATAACTGCTCATTCACCCTTCAAACCTGAAGGATGGCGCACAGACTGCTGGTCACCACAGCAGTGCAGACAACAATCTTGCCTAGCCAGAAGCTAACGAAAAGAGAAAGAGAAAGATTTATGATGAACATACATAATCCAGAGACATTATGATAGGTTTAATCTGCAGCGAGAAACTCTCAAATACTAAAAAGTCGCCAGGATGAATTCAGCTTCTCTATCGCCAGCTTCTTGTTCGAATTGTCCCATTAAACCTTAAATGGTGCAGCAGTTAAATTCTGGCACCTCAGGCGCCATTTTAGGTGGAAAGGGGAAACTCGAACAAGAAGCTGGCGAATCAGGAGCTGACTTCAGCCTCGTAAAAAGTCGAACATTGACAGACATTTTACAAGAAACTATTCAACTTTTGTGGAAAAATTTCCTGCCGGAGTTGTGAGAAAAGTGGCGATAGCAGAGCTAAAGCTTAAAGCAGAGCAAAGTAAGTGAATTTTTGTTTAATTAAATTATATTTTTTTGCTTATACTATTACATTAGCACATACTGAGACATATTTACATCCAAGATGGTAAAATGGACAAAAAATGTTGTGGTTCCCAAGGTGGTTTGATTTTTGTTGAGGACAAAATGGCTCTTCTTAGCATTTGGGTTGCCAACCCCTGGGCTAGAGCTCTGAAATAAATGTGAGAGTTTGCGTGAGAATATAGGATGTAAATGTGAGTGTTTATGAGTGCAACAAATTATGCTTGTTAAACAAAATCCCTAAAAACTGCTTTTTAGACTCTGTTGGCTAAATCTGCATGTGACTTTACATTTGGCGGGTAGTGCTAATGAAAAACCTTACCTTGTTTGAGCAGAAACGCCACTGCTATCACAATGAGAGTCCTGTATAATGCTACTGTTTAAATAAGGTAACTTCATATACCTGAACCATAAAAATGTTAACCAAACATTCTATTTAATATTACATAATAATAATATATTAAACTAAGCTGATCAAAAGTAAAGTGAAACTAGGCTTTCTCGTGTACTTTCACCTTAAAATAAATAGTTAAATATGTAGCTAAATAAGTTAAATAGTCTAACTGGCAGTTTATAGAAGAGTAATAGCAGTTTATGGAAGAATGGAGGGAAATGAAAAAATAAAATAGGTACATTATTGGTAAAGAAAAAGGAGCAATATGTTATATATTTTCTTGGTGTAGTAAAGATATTTGGCAGGATGGGTTTATGCGCTAAGTGAAGCAGGGCTGCAGTATGGACCAGTATGAAGCTGGTAATGACCTCGGTCATTATGGATTTAGTCATGGTACCATTACCATTAATTATTTTAATGTTTGATGTCCAAACATGATAGCATCAGTCATGACGATTACCAGTAATGGGAAAAAGTAAATGTCACTGAACAAAATCTGTCCTGACAACTAAGACAGCACATCTGCCATGACATTCTTATGTCTGTGTTATGTATCAGGGTTCAAGTAAAGTGAATTTAATTGAAAGGGTTTCTAATGTTGTAACATACTATCACGTATTCATAGGGTTTAAAGCAATAGTTTGTCAAATAATCAAATTAAACTAGTTTTTAAAATTTTGGTGTGGATTTAAATGTTACAAAATGTTCAAAAAAAGTTTCATTAATATTTCAAGAATTCTTAAATGTGTTGCATGCAAATTTGCTCGTTTTTGAGCTGCTTTGTTTAACTATCAAGTTGCATGGAAATAATGTTGCAAGCAACTCACAACATGCAACAAGCTGCATGAAAGTTTTGCCTTGTAAAGCCAGCCTTAGCTGCACTCTCATGGAAAAAAAATGCCCAGCTATTAGCTACATTAGCCTAATAGCTCCAGAGCAAAAACTTAAGAAGCAGACACAAAACATCAGACTCTAAAAAACTGACCCGGACAAAGCCTTTGACTCTGTTGATCATTCCATCCTAATAAATAGACTAAGCAGTATAGGGTTCACAGATCATTCTTTAGCTTCATTCACTGTCTACCTCTCCAAGGTCACAGCACACAAAGCTAAGTTCTTTCTTTCCCCTGTCTGGTTAATAAAGGTGTCCCGCAGGGCTCAATATAGGTCCTACGTTGTCTTCTATATACATTAATAATATTCCCCTTGCTGCTGGTAATGTTTTTATTCACTTACAAGCTGATCATACTGTCCTATATGCCACTCCATATGCTCTACCCACAGATTTGTACTGTCAGTGGTCCAGGACAGCTTCCTCCAGGTTAAAAATGACTTTGCCATTTTGTGTAAGGGGAAGATAAACTTTGTAAATTTGACTAAAAACAACCCACTCCAGCCCCATCCCGAGCCACCCCCACCGTACCGTTAAGCCATTTGGAGTTGTACTGGGCCGTGCGGAGGGGGGGCAGGCCCCCCAGGCTGCGGTAAATGGCAGGATCCCTGCCAGAGAAATCCATAGCAGTAGCGGCGTACAGCTCTCCACTGGAGGTGATGAGCGCGGTGGAGTTATGGAGCGGGTTATAGGGGCAGCGCGCCATCCCACTGATCTGATCATGGATCTCTGTTAGATTAGTCAACTGAGAGAGAGAGAGAGAGAGAGAGAGAGAGAGAGAGAGAGAGAGAGAGAGAGAGAGAGTGAAAGACAGAGAAAGAAATAGAAGGAAGAGAGAGAGATATAAGAGTGAGAGAGAGAAAGAAGAGAGAAAAAGAAAATGTGTGAGAGAAAAGTAAGAGCAGGAAGAGAGAGAGAGAGAGACAGAAACAAAGAGAGAGAAAAGAGAGTGAGAGAGAAAGAAGAGAGAGACAGAGGGACAGAGAGAGAGAAATATGAGAGAGAGAGGGAGAGAGAAAGAAAGAAGAAAGGAAGAAGAGAGAGCACAGTTAGATTAGGCAGTCATGAGAATTGTTTAAAACTCTTTATCTGAGCAGTAAGTGTATTACTGCAAGTAAAACAACCATATAACATTAGAATAAATAAATAAATAAATAAATAAATAAACAAACATAAACAGTGTTATGAGATAAAAAGAAAAACCGGCAAGATGGCTGGTCAAGCCCACAAATACGAGAATTTTCTTTGTTAAAAATTACAACAACCATTGTATAATCTTAGTTTAATATTGTTTCAGTGTATTATGGTCCTTTTCTTCATAACAAACATTAAAAATTGCTAATAGTATGCTAATGTCTCAGTAGCTAGCTAGCTAAATTTCTTGTTCCACCTTAAACAGTCCAACAGTTCTGATACCTAAAGTGCCAAAATGTAACTGCTGTACAATTTAAGGTGGAACAGGAAAGTTTGAACAAGAAGCTGGCGAATATCTGACTTCAGCTTCATATTCACCAAAGAATCAGGGGTGGGTGATAATAAATAATCATCGCATCCCCCCTCTTTGAAAGAATATGATGCCCTAAATTAACTAAAGCCCAGCAGCGAGGTTGCTGAACTTTACCCTCCTCTGCAGTTCCTGCAGACTGGCAGGGTCGTCTACAGAGCACCGCTAATAGCCTGTTAATGAAATGTTCTTTTTTATCTGAGGGTTGTCCTATTTTCATAGGGGAAGATTTCAACCACTACCCCTTGTAACTCAGTTCCAAAGGGCAATGTGACACTCGAAAACAAGGGGTAGGGTGTAAAAATAAGAAATGGGATTGGCCCAAAGACTTAGCAAAACTGTGGGTCCCTGAGGACTGGTCTGAGAACCACGGGCCTACCTGCTAACACCAGTCTCTCTCCAGTACATGAAAACCTCACTCCTGCCAAGTATTGTGTATTTGTATTTGTTTTAATGTTATTGCTTTTTGAACAGATACATGCTCACAGCCCAGATAAATAGCTTTACATATCATTTTCTCTGATGGCCCAAGACTTTTGCACACCATTGTATAAGCTAATGTCTTGCAGAATCCAGAGCTCTGGGCCACACAAAAGCTGCTGTCCAAGTCATTTAATGCAACACGTGCGCTTGTGGAGTGGGCCAATGCTAATTTCAGAAGCGTCAACATTTTTATCTCATTACTTGGCAGTCACGGTAAGCGTTGTCTGCGGCAGCTAGACGCTAATCGCTCCCCACACACTCATTTTGTCCTTATGTGCGGCGTACGGCATGGCCGTGATTCATACCGAGCGTGACATTTAGCTAGCCGAGGGGAAGCTAGCATGGCGGAGAAGGAAATTGACATTTGTACACATTAAGCACTGGGGATATGCTAACACAGCCAAAACTCTGCAGTGGTTTGTGGCTTCTTTCCGTGCTGAATGTGTTCTTAATGCTCCTCCCTACAGTTCGGAGTGGGCTCCAGATGCACTCTGACAGATATCCATCTGCACTGCTGGAGGAGTCATTATTGAGCCACACTGGGGCTGAGGTTAGCTTTTGCTTTCACAACAGGATGAAGTGGAAAAGCAGAGAGATTCTGCTCCCCGTGTTTGAAAATATATAACAACACAGCGCAGAATTGGCAGTCTGACAGTGCACTCGCTGGGTGTAAAAATCAGCTGCACGAACTAAGAGGGGGAAAAATGTCAGAATAATTTAAGACACTGTGTCTGAGTGGAAAAAGAAATTCAATTAAAGCTTACAGTGTAACGGAATCTGTCTGGGTGCAAGGACTGGCGTCTACAGATTTTACATGCACGTTCTTTCCTTTTATGAATAAAAAAACAGGCTAATGGCTTTCTGAGCCTACAATAAATACAACGCTGAGGTGATTGTCCACCGGCCTCTTAAAAGTGTAACAAAGTTTTAGAGCATTTGCAATGAACAAGTTTTCTTTACCATATTAAGGGTGAATAAGGTTTATTTAGAGGGAAACAGTATCACGCATGTAAACCTTAGTGGCAGTATTAGCGACAGTGCTACTTTGGGAACAAAGACAAAGGCCTATTTTGTCCCCTTGCTGTGATGTCAGCACTTATCATCAGTCTAACCTTTTTAGGTAAACTTTGTGCCAAAAACAACAGTTTAACAAAACATTTTGAAAGAAAACTGTCAATTTATCATTTAAGGAGAACCTGCTATACATACCAACAACTTTGTTGTTTATATGATATACTTAGTCCTGCTTAATATGACCAGAAACATGAAGTAACAAGATAAAAAAAAGTCCATTTTGATCTCTGGTTGACTTTCATGTAGCCATGCTCCACCCACAAAGGAATCCCTCTTACGAAAAACGCCAAAAATCAATCTAATGAAAAGTTATTGACAAGTTTTTGGCAAAAAAGTAATTTTATTCACATTGGACTGCAATGTTTGTTTAGTGTTTTCATGTTAACCTTTAAACTGGTTCCTCAATTTAGCCTTTAATTTCATTTAATAAGTGAGACATTTTTATTTGACTTTTATTTGACTTTGAATCTTATTTAATAATATTAATAGAAATATCAAACAAGTTTATTTCCTCTCTGCCAGGGGAATAGCCATTTGGAGACCTGGAGAAAGGGGTTAAAATGCTATGCCTAAACAAAGTCCTTATAGGAAAGTCTGTCCACTTGGTGGCCATCTTGGCAGTTATTCATATAAGTTATTGTTATAGACTAAACTCCTATCTCTATAAATGGTGAGAGACCTATAAACTACAGTTTCTCATTAGGTTGAATGAATAACTCACTCTAAATGTAGGTATTGTGATATAAACTGAGTCTGTTCTACAGTTTCTCATTAGGTTGAATGAATAACTCACTCTAAATGTAGGTATTGTGATATAAACTGAGTCTGTTCTACAGTTTCTCATAGGTTGAATGAATAACTCACTCTAAATGTAGGTATTGTGATATAAACTCAGTTGTGTTCTACAGTTTCTCATAGGTTGAATGAATAACTCACTCTAAATGTAGGTATTGTGTTATAAACAGAGTCGTGTTCTACAGTTTCTCATTAGGTTGAATGAATAACTCACTCTAAATGTAGGTATTGTGATATAAACTGAGTCGAGTTTCATAGCTTCTCATTAGGTTGAACAGGATTTTCTGCAAAGTTTGTCCAACCTCTCAACAGTTGCTATGCAGCAATGCGTTTGTGGTGGGGCATGGATTAGTCAGTTGTTTATTGGCTTTAGCTGGATGTGAAAGCCTGGCTATATTAGTATTAGTGAATCACAAAATCAAACACTGCAAAAGAATGAACGATGTTCCCAAACTCTTAATGCGCAATGTATCTTTAGCTAGCTTGTGTCCACGCTACAAAGTGGAGCTGGACTCATCCCTATGAATCACTCCTTAGGGAAAGCTTAGATCCTGTGTCGTCTCACTTGAGCATATTATCTTACAAGCAGCTGATGGCCACAACACTTGCCCTGTGTAATCGGTGTAAAGGAGGGATTATCCCCGGCGCTGGCTGAGAGGGGGACTTCAGTGAACAGCTGGAAGTCTTTCAGCTTCCTTCAGGAGGTAACACCACTTTAGCTGGCTGCGAAAGCCCGCTTGAATTAGCATGTTTGGCTAAAGAAAGCGGCAGCTATTGCCTGTGTCTTCGCTGTGGTGGAAGATGAAAGGCACGCATTGATGGAGCACCTTCAGACAACAAGAGCCTTCACGGATATAGCACAACATCCATAATGCATATCAAGAGGGTTAGCTGAAAGACCACGGGCAGCTGTGTCTCAGCCACACTGAGCCACTTTTGTTTAAAGATTCAGATTTACCGGCCACATCGTGAGGACACACAAGAGTATATTACTGATGCTAGCTTTTAAAGCTTCACTTCCTTCCAAGATTGATGCTCCAGCCAGTGCTGTCTTGCCAGCGCGAAGCAAAGGAGACTTTTACATGTCTGGGGTCTGCCAGCTTGGAATAATGACCGACGGCCTTGAAAGAGCCGAAGAGGGGGCACAAATGTCATCGTAAATAAAGCTACCTATTACCAGCTTCACCTGATCAGCTAATGCTGGGCTATATGTCATCAACTGAGGAATATGGGGTTGGATGTCACAGATCTATTATCTAGTACCTATTATCTAGGACCTATTATCTAGGTGCCTGAAAGTACTGTGTTGTAATGTTTTGACAGCAGAAGTCATTATCATCCCTTTAACCTGTTGTTTTTCTGGTTTTTTTTTACGCAAAACAAGAAAATTTTGTTTTCCAGCGTTTATTGATGAGAGAGATGAGAATGCACCTTAAAATCAACTTAAAAAAAATTAAAAAGGGCAAAAAGAAGTGTTCCGTTGTTTGGTTTGTGCCCTTTCCTCAAGTACAAGTACACTTTAGCCTCTATTTTCAACAAAAATATGAATTAGATTAAGGATATTAAATACATTTCATTAAATAATTAATTTGATCACAATTATTAATTGTATAATGTTAATATTAACTTTTTTTAATACAAATGTTTAAATATCATATCATGATATATTTGGGAAATATCACGCTACTGGATTTATCAACATCATGCAGGGCTACTGTCAGTCTGACTAGAGCCGACGAGGACATGACTGTCACTGTAAATTAAGCCAAACTGTCACCATCATTAGACAGAGCCGGAGAACGGATTCAGGGCTAATCCTGTTATTCAAAGCTCAGTATAACTCACTCATATGCATCACTGAGAAAAGACTGAGGGCCAGAAACAATAGTGGACGTACGTACACAAACCAGGCCAACTTCATTGTTTCTGATCACTGCAGTGAGCTGTATCAAATCCAACATGACAAAGAGCATGTGACACCTAAATTACACCCAAATGACCACTGAACACAGCAGAGGGCATCTGAGTAACAAAAATCTAAATGTTTTCAAAATATTCACAATCATAACAGTATTGTTGTTAGGTTCGGCCTTGAGTAGCCACTGTTTAGGCAGTTGACCTTTTAACCTTTTCCAAAGCAGTTATGCATTAGGGGTGTAATTAAATTAAACTGTAGTGAAATTTGAGATGTATCTATTAACTGATCAATTGTATTTTAAAATTAAACAGCACTGTTTAGACTTTGCTATAATATAAACACAGAACCAGTCAAGGATAACACAAAACATCCCAATAGGCTCATTTCCATCATGGTACATTCATTCCCTAGAGAACCATAATCAAATTTAGAGATTTACACTCCAACCATCAAGCAAAACTGTGTACAAATCAAAGTCTTTTAGCATAAATATTACAAACTAGTATGCAATCCATGTACAGGCTAAGCAGGGGTCAGTGTAGTAACCTAGTGTGTTCTGCTTACTGTGCGATTGGTGCAGATAGGAGTGAAGGCGTTTGTGCCACAGGTGAAAAGTCTGTCTCCGTTCACCAGCAGGACACGGATATAGTTCTGACATTCTTCCTGTGAAAAGAGAAAAAAAAGGTCAGTGGGCAAAAACAGTAACCAAAACACACACACACACACACACACACACACACACACACACACACACACACATATATAAGACAATATATATATAACAAGATAATCCACTTGCATGGATTGGGAATGAAATGAAAAAAAAGGAATTTCCACAACTTGACTTCAAAACTGTTAAAAGCTACAAAGATAATCAGACTAACAACGGTGCAAGACCTAGTAGACCACCAAAATTGTCCTCATCAGATAAACAATACTTAACGCTTTCATCTTTGAGAGAGAGGAGAAAATCAAGCTCCACTCTGACTTCAGATCTGAAAAGATCCACAGGTGTTTCTGTCAATCCTTCCACTGAGAGAACACAAGTCAACACTAAGCAGAAAGTGGAAAACCAGCTTCTAAGACTGAACTTTGGAGTGTGAAAAAATATCCCTGCAGATTTCCTTAAAAAACTGAAAGCGACTCTCCTGAAAAGAACGGAATGTAATAAAGGTAAAGAGTGGACACACAAAATAGTGAAAAAAACTGCTATTATATTTAATTGTTCCATAACACTGAGAAATAAATAACTTGTACGTAGTGCACAGCTTGACTGTAAATTAAACAACAGAAGGGTCTCATTTACACCAGCAAGGTGGAGCTACAAGGAAGAAGTTTCCTAATAAAGTGGTACAGTGTGTAAAAACCCCAGCTACACTGCTATGCTAAGAATGAGCCATCACTCAGATAATCTGGTCAGTGGTGGTCCTATGGTGGTCCCTTTCCACTGATGGATGAGGCAGATGTGGGGGAGGGGAGGAGGTGATACATTGTGCAGCTGCAGTTTGTAACTGTAAACCTATATAGTGGTTCTATATGGTGTTTCTAATAAAATGGCCAGTGAGTGGAAGTATGAGGTAGGTGTTTCCAATAAACTGGCCACTCGGCATCTGTGCTTATATTTTATCTCTATATATTGAAAATAATCCTGCCAGAATAATGTAACTCCACAAACTCAGTGAAAGGCATGCAAAGCACTGCATTTACAATGTGTTAGGCTTTAAAATATATCTGCTGCTATTACAGCACCTGAAGGACTCTCTCTGCTAGAGCACCTCTATCTTTCACAGAGCCTATAGAGAGTTTAGGAGGCAGTAAATCTCGCCCGTCTGCGGCACTTGAAACCCCGCAGCCCTCTCTTTCTCAGGATGTTGATTTAGTGCTTTGCTGTGGTACAGCCGGAGGGGTCTGCTTTATCTGCTCATCAGAACGCCTGTTAACTCATAAAGCCATTCATTCTTCTACGCACAGTGGACTCAGAAAGACATTCTTCTTTTTACTTTTGCTAATGTAATTTGGCTGGGAGGCAGCACTCCGCTCTATGTAAATAAATGCAGATTTAATGTCCTTGTCATGCCATGATGCGATATATTTATGCAAAAAAGAGGAAAAAAAACCCTGACAAATTGCTACACTTTGTAAAGTAATACAGTGGCTGTGCACTGTGTGCATTACAAACAAATGGGGCTGATTGAACTCCATTAACTCAATCAGACCTTCTTCTCATCTTCAAGCAGTGGCCCCGGAGGACGCCAGATGCCACATTTAAAGGGGACAATTACTTGTAAAATTCGTATTTTATGAGTTTGCAAAGAAAATATCATGTTATGATGCTGCTGTGGGTACATAAAATAATCATAGTCACAGCCTCGGCACAGCTAGAACAGAAAAAAATATGCTATTTAAATGCAATTACGCAATTACATATTTATTACATAGTCAGTTATGCAACAAATCATATTTAAGTTGGCTTGACAAAAGCAGCTTACTGTTTTTTTTGTGCAATGAGTCTTTTATATCATTGTGGAGGCATTTTGGGCCACTCTTCTTTGCAGAATTGTTTTATTTGGCTACATTTGAGGGTTTTCGAGCATGAACTGACCGTTTAAGTTCTTGAGATGGGATTCAGGTCAGGACTTTGATTCGGCCACCCCAAAACCTTTATTTTGTTTCTTTTGAGCCATTCGGAGGTGGACTTGCTTGTGTGCTTCAGTCTATTGTTCTGCTGCATAACCCAACTGAGCTTAAGCTTTAGGTCACAAACTGACAGGTGGATATTTTCCTTCAGGATTTTTTGATAGAGAGCAGAATTCATGATTCAGTCAATTATGACAAGTCATCCAAGTCCTGCAGAAGCAGAGCAGCCCCGGACCATCATACTACCACCACCATGTTTGACTTGTTGGTATGATGTTCTTATGGTGGAATGCAGTGTTAGCTTTACGCCAGACGTAATGGGATCCATGTCTTTCAAAAAGGTCCACCTTTGACTCATCAGTCCACAGAATACTGTTCCAAAAGTTTTGGGAGTCATCTAGATGTTTTTTGGCAAAAGCGAGATGAGCTGTTGTGTACTCCTTGGTCAGCAGTGATTTACGCCTTGCAGCTCTCTCATGGATGCCATTTTGCCCAGTTTCTTTCTTATTGGGGAATCGTGTACATTCACCTTAACTGAGGCAAGTGAGGCCTGAAAGTCTTTAGATGTGTTTCTGGTTTCTTTTGTGATCTCCTGGATGAGTTTTCAATGCGCTCTTGGTAAAATTTTGGTTCACCACTGTTCCAAATTTTCTCCATGTGTGAATAATGGCTCTCACTGTGGTTCGCTGGAGTCCCAGTGCCTTAGCAAAGGCTTTATAACCTTTTCAGACGGTAGATTTCAATGACTTTGTGTCACATTTGTATTTAAATCTCTTTAAAACATGGCATCATGTGCTGCTTTTTTAGACCTTCTAGCATGCTTCACTTTGCCAGACAGGTTCTATTGAAGTGATGTTTAGATTCAACAGGTCTGGCAGTAATCATGTCTGGGTGTGGCTAGTGAAACTGAACCCAACATTCAATTGAATTTGATTAACTAGTTGATTTAGTAGCTAAGGGGGCAATTACTTTTTCACATAGGTCCAGGTAGGGCTGAACAGCATTTTTCCTTCAATGAATGAAATCATTATTTTAAAACAGCATTTTGTGTTTACTTGGGTTATCTTGGTCTAATATTAAAAGGCGTTTGATGACCTGAAACATTCAAGTGTGACAAATATGCAAAAATAGAAGAAATTTCACAGCACTGTATGAGTCAAAAACTCCACTAATTGTTCTAAATTTCTGCATCATTAAATCATTATGTTGTAAACAAATTAATTCAGAGTGGTTTGGTGCAAAATGCTTCATTCTAGAGAAACTTACCAAGTCAGAATAGTTCACCCCTAAAAGCTCCCTCACAGAAAGTTATTACATGAAACGGTTACAAACAATGCCTGAGACTTTGTTTTACAGTTGTTTTGAGATAAAATGTTAGCTTAAAACATGTTGCTAAAACAACAATAATGCTGGGAAGGCACATGCAGGGAGTTTTAAGGCAAAATAGTCCCCAAAGAAAATGATTTATCACCATTTTACAATCATCATCATTACATATAATAATTCAGAAGACGTGTAGATTCACTGGTGGTTTTCAATCTCAATAACTAAATTATGCAAAAAATTAGAAAATTTGGTGGAGTTCCTATTCAATATATTTTTCAGAAAGCTGAAGTTTTCATTCTGTTCTCAGCTGCTGAAAAGTACAGCTGATATGGATGGGAAACAATTCCAGACAACTCATAAAAACCACCTCTCTGTGGAAGGTGACTTAGCTTGTAATTCTGAATGACAATCATATGTTGGTCAGAGCGTAACCCTGCTCATTACAGAGCTCCAAAATACAGCCGCTGGACCCTTCAGAGAAGCCTAAACCACAGTCCACTGACCAAAATACACCAGAGGCCCTGAGGTTCGATGGGAGGTCACACAATGGACGATGGATCATAGCTAGCTTAGCCTAGCTAATGTAGCTTAGCATGGCTCAGCATGTGTGCTGAGCTCCTCTGTGCTGCAGTCAGACGGGACTTTACAGCAGATAGAGTCTAACTCTGCATCTGTGTCAGAGGGATTTGTTCAGACTCAGTCAACCTTCAGACACACAGGACGACCCACACTCCACTAAAACTCCATGGAATCTATACGGCTGAAGGCTCAAACAGAGTTTAGAGAGGAATTCTATTAGCAGTAGTGAGAAAAGTTTGGAATCAGCGGAGTCTCGCCAGGAAAGGCTGCTAAAATATGACACAATCATTTATCTATATTACATTAGGTAAACATAGAAATAAATAAATAAGCAAACATACGTTTTTGGTGTATCCCCATGTATTGTGAGTTGGGTTGGAGCAAAAATGACTGTATGGGGTCCCAGAGTAGCGCTTTGAGAACGAATATGTAAGATATTGCAACTTGGAAGTTTTCCAAGTAATTTTGGACTATTTCTATTCATTCAGTCATCATAAAAATTTCACACATTGTAAAGGAAGTAGAGGACTATTAAATTATGTGAAGTAAATAAAAAACCACAAGGGAGTCACAGTTACATTCCGACAGCACACACACATACGTGTGTGTACTTATTTTGTTTATTATTTATTGTTATCACGATGTCGCCAATATTGGCTCTTAAAATATTATGTTTAGTGATAATAAATATATAAGAAAACAAACATAATAATAATAATAATAATAATAATAACAGTAAAAGACACCAACCTCTGATTTTCCTCGACTGAAGCAGGCTCCTTTGGTGAACTCGTCACAGTGCCATTCTGCCTCCTGTACAAACACAGGAATAAATACATTAAATAACAACATAGCTGAACATCAAAGTTATATTTGATTGTATCATATTCTTTGAAGCAATGTCAGAGTACAACATTTTCTCTCCCCAAAGATCCTTCTCAAATGCATGGTTTAAAAACCTTAGTTGAAATCAGGCAATTGAAAGGTAATTTAGGGAATAAACATAGTTATTCTATTGCATTGCTCTCATATTTCTGCATAGCAATGTACAGACATGCACAGTTTTCTATAGAGATACATAGAAATGTACAGTTTTGTATAGAAACATATAGAGATGTCTAATTTTTGACAGATGTTTTGTATAGAGATATATAGTTTTCAATAGAGATGTTTTGTATAGAGATTGTATAGTTTTGAATAGAAATGTTTTGTATGGAAGTATATAAGGATGTACAGTGTTGTATAGTTATTTTGTATAAAGATGTTTAGGTTTCTATAGAGATGAACAAATATGTTAGCTTTGTATAGAGCTGATTTTTATAGAGATGTGCAGAGATGTATAATTTTGTATAATGTACAGAGATGTATAGTTTTCTATAGTTGTTTTGTATAGAGATGTACAGAGATGTACAGTCTTGTATAAAGATGTATAATTTATATATAAATTAAAAAAACTATAATTAGTTTTCTATAGTTGTTTTGTATAGAGATGTACAGAGATGTACAGTCTTGTATAAAGATGTATAATTTATATATAAATTAAAAAAAACTATAATTAGTTTTCTATAGTTGTTTTGTATAGAGATGTACAGAGATGTACAGTCTTGTATAAAGATGTATAATTTATATATAAATTAAAAAAAAACTATAATTAGTTTTCTATAGTTGTTTTGTATAGAGATGTACAGAGATGTACAGTCTTGTATAAAGATGTATAATTTATATATAAATTAAAAAAAACTATAATTAGTTTTCTATAGTTGTTTTGTATAGAGTTGTTTTGTATAGAGATGTACAGAGATGTATAGTTTTCTATAGTTTGTTTTGTATAGAGGTAAAAAAGAGGTAAAAGAGCTAAATCATAACTCAGCTTGTGGTTACTGACTGACTGAGATTTAATGAACTTGGCAGTATGAAAATTGCAGACTTCAAATGAGTGGCATAGTGAGGAAACAAAAAAGATTTTTATCAGGTGCGTTACAGCAAGAAACATGGACACTTTTTACCACTTAATACACACAACATAGAAATAAAAGCATTGCAAATACTAGCACTGCAACTAGGCCTGTGCACAGTGAAGGAGTTCCCACAGTAACATCATCCAGAGAGCATAAAACCAATTTACTGCAGGTTAAAAACATCTTTACTTTATTGATTTATTTCATGTAAATCATAGGAAGCCAGCTGTATTCCCACTCATGAACATAACTGAAATTTAAAACGTATGAACTTTTAAATATCATGCGATATCCTACTTTAGAATGTATTGTCCCTATCATAGATGAAACAAATAATATATAGTGCAGACTTATTTACATATTAAAATAAATATTTCCAAACAACTGAATTTAGAAACCATGGTAATAAAGGAAAAGAGTAGATTATAAGGCAGAAACAGCCTCTTCTTGCCTCTGAATTAAAGCGTTAACCTCATATGAAACAGTAGAGACTTTGCCCGAGCCGCGGTGGCAGCAGAGTGAAGTATTCTGTTATTCTGTACGTCCTCCGGAAGCAGTCTGGAGAATCTTTTAGCAGACCGTTATAAGGGCCTGAAGCACGAATGGAGAAATAGTGCATATATCTCACAAAGCCTCAGCCATCAGTGCACTCCTAAAAATAAAGCGTTCTTTAGAACGATGCTGCTATTAAAAGGGGTTCTTCAAGGGTTCTTTAGTAAAGATAATATTTATATACAGTTGTAAATGGTTCTTGGCTTGGATGCACAGTTTTATGAGAAACCTTTAATTGGTATAGAACCTTCATATTATGTGAATGTTTTTTAACCTTCGAAAAAGTGCATGTTTCATTTACAAAAATCTGCTGAGAGGTTCTTTAATGGACCAAAAGTGGTTCTTCTCTGCAGAACTGTCTCTCCACCTACAGTTTTAAGAATGTATTCCACCATGAAAACTCCATTTGAAGAACCATTTGAAATGTGTAACTGGTTACATGCCAAAGGTTCTTCTCCATAATGAAGTGTGTTTTAAAATGGTTCTAGCTTGATTAGGAGCTCCATTTTTGTTATGGCTCTTTAGAATGATGCAATACTTGTTTAAAAAAGGTTTCTTCAAGGGTTCTTTAGTAAAGACGGTTCATATGCACTCATAAATGGCTCTTGGCGTGGAGGTACAGGTCAAAGAGAAACCTTCTTAAATGTTCTTTAAACTTCATATAGGTTCATATATCACTTACAAAAAGGTTTCATTTAGTTGAAATGTTCTTTAATGGACTAGAAGTGGTTCTTTGGAACCACCATGTTCATGTTATGCTTAACCTGACTTGCAACAAGAGAGCAGAAATGTGGACTGTCTGGGGGCTTCTTGGGGTAAAGGTGGTACTAAGGGTTCTTCAGAGAACAGGACTCATATAACCTGATTTTAGAGCACGTGTTTAACAAGAATGCAAGTAAAATCTCTTTTGGTTCTTTAAAGAACCTTCCAGTGGGTATTTCTTTAAAGAACTCTTTTCGTAAATCAGGTGTCAGAATGTAAAGAATTGTTTTAAAGTTTAAAAGAACCTCTACATAATGTATTATGTTCTATACCTATTTCTAGAACCGTATTCCAAGCCAAGAACCATTGAGGAACCTCACTGGCTTTTAAGAGAGGGGTTAATATTGGCGTTTTAGATGTTTCCCCTCCTCAGACAGAGAGTGAATGAAAACACAAAGCCAATCTCTTAAAGCCTGTTCACAGCTAAGACTTCCATATCAGGGCAGAGAAAACTGGGATTAATATAAGTCAGGGAATATAGACTTGTCTAAACTGTAGAACAGTCAGTTCAGTATCAGAATGTAGTGAACAGATTAAAGCATAAGTTACTGCTGGCTGCTCCCACTAAATGCCAAGCATTCAGTCTAACACCATTGTGCTACAGTGAAGCTTAAGTCATGAATAAGCATGTTAGCACTCAGATTACTGGAACAATATAAGGCATGATGTTTGCAGTTTAGAAGTGTAGAGTCTGTTTTGTCTGTTTCAGTCAGATACATAGCAATTTTTTTCATTGGAATGAATGGGAACTGAGTCAGTCCACTTCTATAACATAATGCTTAAACTGCTACCTTTTATTCAAGTACAAGTGGTTTGGACACTTATATTATGTCAAGTATGCTAGCAATACCTTAGCAACCACCTGGGACAGCATAGCAATGGCCTAGGAAAAACTTCGCAACTACCTGGGATACTACAGCAACGCCCTAACAACAAGCTGGAATACCATAGCAACCTCGTAGCAACACCATCTCAACTACACACTTAAAAATGATGGTTCTTCAGGGATCCTTAATAAAGAAAATGGTTCCATATAGAACCATGAACTCTTAAAGAACCCTTTGCATGATTAAAGGGTTCTTTACATTGTGAAAAGGGTCTTGAGATTGGAGGAAAAAGTGCTGTAGATGGTTCTACACAGCACCACATAGCACCAAAAAGGGTTCTTCTATTGTAGCAAGCCTGATATCGTAACAACAGATGAACCCTTTTTGGTGCTATATAGATTTACATTTTTCAAAAAGGTTCTATATAGAACCATCTACAGCACATTCTCCATCAATCTGAAGAACACTTTCATGATGCAAAGGGTTCTTTAAGTGTTCATGGTTCTATACAGAACCATTTTCATTTCAAATAATCCAAAAAATATTCAGTGATGTTGAGGTCTGGACTCTGGGGTGGTCAGTCCATTTGTTCTGAGAACACCAGCAGCTTCTTTGTTTGATTTGTCTGTTTGCTTTTCTCAGTAAGAGCTTCTTAACAGCTACACATCCTTTCAGACTCATAGTGTTGAGTTGTCTTCTCACAGTGGAAAAATGGACAGAAACACCTGTGGATTTTTTCAGATCTGAAGCAAGAGCGGAGCTTGATTTTCTCCTCTCTCTCAAAGATGAACGTGCTGTTTATCTGATGGGGACAGTTTTGGTGGTCTACCAGGTTTTGCAGGTGGTTGTTAGGAGTCCCATTTTCTCTGTACATTTTAACTCCCTCATTCAGTTTTGGAAACTTCACTTCTTACAATTTGTCTTTCTCCTTTCTTATGCAAGTGGACTATCTTATATCTAGTGCTTAATTTGTACTTAATGGCTGGTCTGCCTGGAAATTGAATAAATTAAGTCTTTGACTTCTGCCTAGTACTGTAAATAGCAAAATGACAATAATTCTTCTCAGGGCAAAGAGTGGATCTCAGTCTGAGTGACTGAGCGTTGTGTATGTAGCTTCACAGACTGGAGTGTTATGGGTGAATAACACACAGTGTGTTTTTCTGACAGCTTGCCAACTCACATTCCAGCTCTAACCGCACTATTTTACAGGCGCTCGCTCTTACAAATATGGCACACATCAGCAGAACAGCTCAGCTCAGCACGCACAGACAACACAGGGCATGCAGACAAACACTGCACAGCGATAGCACTGCGCTATATGAGTTACAGCAATGAACACTTCAGCTAAAAATAGCTTTAATATAGAGTAAGATGTGGATTAAGTGTAATTAGCAAGACCATTATCCTGATAAATGAGACGACAGCAAGCTCTTAATAATTACAGCAGAAATAACCATTCTGCTTTTATAGTCATTCCTCCTTATTAATGATCTAATAAAATTGTGCCTAAATCATTAATGATCCCCGAACACTGTTTGTTCAATTTTCTATTACATAAACATTAGAAGGGAATGAACAGGGCTAAGAAACTGAAAGCAACTTTAGTTAGCCAAAGTTGGCTCTGCTATGCTCATAGTTCTTAGAACTTTTAGAAGTCTAGAGTAATTACTGTTGTTTTGCTATAGACTTTTGATGTTGGTGACAGGCCCATATT